TGCTAACTTATAAGATGTGAGGCTGGCCGAGCGACGCATCGTTCGTGACGTGGTGTCACGTGACGGCTCACGGCAGCGGCGTAGCCGCCGCCACGCGTTGCCGGCCTATCCCCTCCACACGGTCGTATTTGTCGTAAATGCCGTCCACCCGGAATCCCTGAGAGAGACACGACACGACCGAGAGTTCAGTCGTATCTCTCCCCTCGCGTGGCCTCTCGCCGCTGTACCATTTAATTCGTCCCCTCCACGCGGGCTCAGCTGGTACCAGCTGACACCTCTCAACGAGATCCGTTCGGCTTGACAATGGAAAATCCCATCTCTACGTCATACGTGGCGGACTCAGATTGGATCGACACGCGAGGAATGCATGCGTACGATCGCGGTATCAACACTCGACGAGCGGGCGTCTTTTTGCTATGATCGAATATACACACTCGCGTGAAGAACGATTGTTGTAAAGTGTAAATGTTTCTTTCTCTTTCCTATACGGCGAGAAGAATTCGATCGCGGAGAAGCAATTGCAAAATTTGCATGTTACGTTAGGCATGCGAGCATGCGATTTATACGCGCTTGTCCGATAATTGTGCTGTTAAATAATAACGACCTAAGATATTAACTTTGGTGTGTGTGAATTGCAGGTTTTTATCACGGAAAGGAGATATCGAGAGATACTTATCAAGGAAGGATACCTGGAAAGTCATATAATAAATCACGCCCGGCGAGATAACGGCTGTGTATTATATAAATCGCAACGGTTCCGTCAGCCTGCTTAATATTTCAGTGTTTCACTCGCGCTTTTGTGGTATTCTTTTAATTTTAACGAGAGGTATCTGTTATGAATATAGATTTTGATTGACATACGCATCGCTGTGTAAACACGCCCTTAAAGTTCCTTAAATTGACACAAATAAATCTCGGTAATATCGCAGTATTTAATAATCCCGAACAAATCGCAGTATTTTTGAAAGTATTGGTCGAATTTCGTAAGTCTATTAATACGAAAGTAGAAAAAAAAACCATGAGTCAAACAAAAAATCGCGTTAACTTGAGCGACGTGAGTGACAAGTTTACCGAAGAGGTGCTGACAGACGTCCTCTCTAAGGCGTGTAACGGGAAGAAGGTTCAGCTGACAGATTGGAATTTTGGCGAGGGATTTGCCAAGGGTGACAGCTACCTGTCGACAGTTAACAAGGGTACGCTGTACGGTATTGTGGACGGCAGTCCGAGGCAGCAAGTGCAAGTTAATTTCGTCGTAAAGTCAATTCCCAAAAACATTGGCAGGAGAAAGACCTTTAGAAGCAGAGATTTTTTCAGTAACGAAATTATATTCTATACAAAGGTAAGGATATATGAAGCTTTTTTTTGTTTAATTAGAAATGCATGTATCTATTTGAAAAAGAGTGGATTTTATAATTATTGTGTACATCTTATATGTATATAATCAAGCAACAAATGTCTCAATCAAGTGTTAATTTATATTCATTTATATAAGGTTGTCCCCAAGATTGAAAAATTCTTAGCGGAGAGAGGACAAAGCAGTCTACTGCGCATACCACGTTACTTGGCTTCTTACATGGACGGTGAGAATGATTTCATAGTCCTGGAAGATGTCTCGCCTCTTGGATTCGGGCCGGCGTCCAGACAGAGCTGCCTGGACTGGGCGGAATGTACCGTGATTTTAGAAGCCCTGGCGAAATTTCACGCGATTTCGTTTGCATACAGAGACCAAAAGAAAGAGGAATTCGACGAATTAACAAGCTATTTAAAAGAGACCTACTTTGGTGATCATAACTGGAACTGGTACCAAAAATTCCATGTAAGTATATATAATATAAATATGTAATAAGTATAAGATTCCATATAAGATATAACGTTGCGTTTTAATATAAATATTGCTCTAAAGAGTGTGTACTTTCGCTTACAGAAACGGCTAGTGGATATTGCTAAACACGCGTTAATGATGGAATATCCCAACAGTAAAGCTGAAAAGCAATTCAATTCCTATAAATTTGGTGAACTCTACGACATGTGCACGAAATTATGTGAGGAAAGAGGTACCTCGACGTCTGTTATAGCAGCGGGTGACTGTTGGGCCCCAAACTTTCTAGTTCGGGACATCGGGGAAAATAAAAAAGAAGCGCTAGTGTTGGACTTTCAGCTTGCACGTTGCGCTAGCCCTATCACGGATATGTCGTTTTTAGTTTACTCCTGCACTCAGAAGTCATTTCGCGATCAGTATTTTGACGATATATTGAAAATTTATTACTCCGAATTGAGCAGCGCCATTAAATCTCTTGGATCTGACCCGGAAAAAGTTTATCCATGGGATTTATTTATGAGAGAGGTAAAGAAAATGTATTCTCTAGTCTATTTTACGTTTTCAAAATTTTAAAAGGAAATTGTACTAATAGCGGTATGCCAATTGCAGGTGAAGAGAAATTTCATCGTTGGATTAGCGTTCTCCCTGGAAGCTGTTCCATTTTGTCTATTGGATCCATCACAATCATTCGATTTAGATGCCATTGTCAAGGGCGACGAGGCAGTAAATATCGCTGATGTATGGACATTATCTAATATCGAAACATCAAGCGGAAGGCGAAGATTAGCAGACGTGATTGTTCATGGGGTTGAAAATGGATTTTTATGAAAATGAAAGTTTATATGTAATTATAATTTTGCATCGTTATAAAACATGACTACGTAATTTTAACAAGATGATTTCACATTATTGGAATAGTATTAGTATATATGTACTGCTGAAGCTAGTATTATTGGAACAGTATAGGTATAATGTATATAATTAGCAATATATTAATTTTAATAAAATGTCACTTTCACATATTTATATTTTTTCAGTAGTATACATTTCAAAATTACATTCCTACATATTTGGAATAAAATTGTATGCAAAAATTTTTTTAAATGTGTATAGCGAATCAAGTATAGATAATCTATGCCTTTGTATAATTTAAATTACAACAAATAGAGGTTATCTAATTAAACTGTAATCTAGGTAATTATTCAGTTTAGCTATCACCTCCAATCTTTTATATAGATGAAATTGGGCTCATTTGACGCGTTTTTTTCCAAGAAATGAAAAAATCTAGCAGAAAAAAAGCATTTCGCTCTGTCCTGGGAATAAATATTAATTTTAATGAAGCTCTCAGCTCTCTATAGAAAGGGCGGAACTCTCATTAGGCCTGTTCTTTACAGCTGAACTGGCTGCACTAGTTCAGAGTTTATCTTTTTTCTTCCAATATAGAAAGAGAAAGATAAACTGTGCACTAGTGCAACAGTTCAGCTATAAAGAACAGGCCTATTGCGTTCACGTAAACACTTATAAGTCATAACTTGCGTTATAATCGGAAAGAGGTTTCACATGAGTTTATAACTTTCCATGCGAAGCGAAGTTTTGCATAGATATACAACATTTTATATTTCGTGCCCGTTTCATAATAACTCACGTAGCTACAGAATATATGAATATAATCGTAGCACGTGCTCATGTCGCTCTATTTCGTCGATGACAGATTTTCTAACCTGTGAATAATCGTCAATTTTAATTAATATAATATCTTGGTTCACAGATCAGGTTTTTCTGTCATATTATTTCATTTCATGCAAAAACGCGTTAAATGAGTCTAATTTCATCAATATTGGAGGTGAGATCGTTAAACTAATTACCGAATTACTACCATAACCTCTTTGATTACTACGCACGATTTACACTATTTACAGTGTTTATGAAACGCCGATGGGAGAGAGACGGAGCGGGCAGACGCGAGAAGTTCGTATTTCTTTTTGTGGCTGTTCGTCGCCACTTTTCTCATTTAATTCGTCCCCTCTACGCGAGCTCAGCTGATACCTTTCAACAAGATCCATTCTGCTTTATAATAGAAAATTTCATATACATGTACGTCACACGTGGCAAATCGGATCGACGCGGACCGACGTGCGGGAAATGCTCGCGCAAAGTATGATTACTGTATCACTATAATATCGAGCAGATGTCTTTTTATTATATGATCGAATGTATGCACTCGCGTGAAAAAATATTGTAACATAAATGACCCTTTTTCTTTTTTTACTTCGGCGAGAAGATTCGATCACAGAGAAGTGACTTGCAAAATTTTATACGTTAAATGCGAGCATCCGAAATTGTACAGTAGAAAAGTTATAAATCATATGAAATAATATTATATAATTAAGGTACTTTTGCGTGTGAATTACAGATCGCTTTTATCACGAAGAGGAGAGAGATGTCGAGAGATCAAGAAGGATACACTTGAAAAACCATAAATAAATCACCGGGCGAGATAACGGTTATCAGTACTATATAAATCACTCTCGGTTTTGTCAGCCTATTAAATTTCAGTTGCTCGCGCATTTGTTGTATTCTTTCAATTTTAACGAGGGAGATCTGTAATAAAAATAAACTTTGATTGACGTATCCATTGCTATGAACGCGCCTTTAAAATTCTTTCGCTATTTTGAAAATATTAACGAATTTTGTCCATATAATATTTTAAGTGTATTAATAAATACGAAAGTAAAAAAATGAGTCAAACTAAAAATCGTGTTAACTTGAGCGACGTGAGTGACAAGTTTACGGAAGAAGTGCTGGCAGACGTGCTCTGTAAGGCATATAAAGGAAAGAAAGTTCAATTGACAGATTGGAATTTTGGCGAGGGATTTGCCAAGGGTGACAACTACATGTCACATATTAACAAAGGTACGCTGTACGGTATTACGGATGACAGTCCGAGGCAGCAGGTGCAAGTTAATTTCTTTGTAAAGTCAATTTCCAAAAATATTGGCAGGAGAAAGACTTTCAGATGTGGAGATTTTTTCGGTAACGAAATCATATTCTATACAAAGGTGAGAATATAGTACCTAGAGCTTTCTTTTTGTTTAATCAGAGATACCTATTTTATGAAAAAAATGAATTCTATGTTATGTATAATCAAGCAACAAATGTCTCAGTCGAGTGTTATTTTATATATAGATTGTTCCCAAGATTGAAAAATTCTTAGCGGAGAGAGGACAAGGCAGTCTACTGCGAATACCACGTTACTTGGCTTCTTACATGGACGGTGAGAATGATTTCATAGTCTTGGAAGATGTCTCTCCCCTAGGATTTGAACCGGCGTCCAGGCAGAACTGCCTGGATTGGACGGAATGTACCGTGATTTTAGAAACCCTGGCGAAATTTCACGCGATTTCACTTGCGTACAGGGACCAAAAGAAAGAAGAATTCGCGGAATTTGCAAGCTATTTAAAAGAAAACTACTTCGGTAGTCATAACTGGAATTGGTTCCAAAGATTTCATGTAAGTAACATTACGTTGCATTTTAATATAATTATTACTAAAGCGTATGTACTTTCGTTTACAGAAAACGCTAATAGGTATAGCTAAACACGCGTTAATGATGGAATATCCCAATAGTAAAGCTGAAAAGCAATTCAATTCCTATGAATTTGGTGAACTCTACGACAGGTGCACGAAATTATGTGAAAAAAGGGATGCTTCGACGTCTGTTATATCTGCGGGTGACTGTTGGGCCCCGAACTTTCTAGTTCGGGACATCGGGGAAAATAAAAAAGAAGCGCTAATGCTGGACTTTCAACATGCACGTTGCGCTAGTCCTATCACGGATCTGTCGTTTTTAGTTTACTCCTGCACTCAGAAGTCATTCCGTGATGAGCATTATGATGACATATTAAAAATTTATCACTCCGAGTTGAGCAGCGCCATTAAATCTCTTGGATCTGACCCGGAAAAGATTTATCCGTGGGACTTTTTTATGAGAGAGGTAAAGAAAATCTATTCTCTAGTCTATTTTACGTTTTCAAAATTTTAGAAGGAAATTGTATTGATGTCGACTAGGTGAAGGAGACTTTTATAGTTGGATTAATGTTTTCTCTGGAAGCTATTCCGTTTTGTCTATTGGATTCATCACAATCGTTCGACTTAGATGTCATTATCAAGAGCAATGAGGCAGTAAATATTGATGATGTATGGACATTATCTAATATCGAAACATCAAGTGGAAGGCGAAGATTGGCAGACGTGATTGTTCACGCAGTTGAAAATGGATATCTATGAAAATGGAAATTTATATGATTATAAACTTTTTGCATCGTTATAGAGTTATAAAGCATGACTAGGTCATTTTAACAAGATGATGCACATTATTAGAATAGGATTAGTATGTATGTACTGCTGAAGCTAATATTATATTGGAATAGTATTATTGATGTGTATATAATCAGCAATATATCTGATAAACTCTGATATAATTTCACTTTTACATATTTATATTTTTTCAATAGATATATATCTCAAAATGATATGCATACATATTTGGAATAAAATTTTATTCCAAATTAATGAGCAATTTTTTTTAATTAAAGATGTGTATAGAATTAAATAAAATATAGACAATCCTTGTCTTTTTGTATAATTTTAATTACAACAACGTAGAGATTAATTAAAATATAATCTGTACAAGAGTAGAGAGATATTGCCACCCATTAACTCTTCTCCTTAGACGATATATATCTAAAATTTCGTGTTATCACATAGTAGCATTAACAGGGTGGAGAGTGTTGGTAGAAATATTTTGTATTTTTTCTTTTTTTGTCTTGTTTTTTTTTATGAAAAGTACATCTACTGCTGACAAGCACAATGTTAATGATAAGTGCATCACAGATGCATGTTTGACGTTAATGATCTTGCCGCGCAAAGCAAATAACTTTTAAGACGTTGAAAAATGCCTCGATCTGTTTCGCAATTGATAGTCTTATTGTGTACCCATATCACGAGATCGCAATAAAGTTAGTTGAAATGTTATTAAAATCGCACGATGTCGGAGAACATTACACGAATGACATATAATATAAACGCAACGTTATAAGTTCACCGTGTGTCAGACACGTCTTATATGTTCTGATGCTGAGCGTTGATCGTCACGACGTTGCTCGCATCGAAAACCGTTGTGTCTTCATCGTCCTCCTCTTCCAGCGGCAACGGTCGCATCTCAACGTCCTGCCTGTGCGTGAGAACACCGTATTTTCGTACCAACTGGGCGCGTGTCTTACTTAACCTGTCGATAAGAGCAATACAAAATAAAAACCCATTGAGCTGTTAAATCTATCGTACACCAGATAGCTGGTGCAGCATGTCATTCTTATGATACTGTTATCTGTTTGTAAGACGCACCTAAAGCTACGGAACACGATGTAGGCCATGACAAGGATGCTTAGTCCCACGAAGACTAAGAAACCACGTAAAAGAGCACCAGTGTTGAAGGACGTGTGACCCTCGCTGGACTGCTCCGTCCAAGTGCCATGATCGATAACAATAACAGTACAAGAATAAATTGAGACAATAGTATAATTTAATGCAGTAATGTAATATATGCAGTATATAAAGTGCTGTTTGTAGATTCAAATTTTTTATTATGCAGACTGTTCCTAAAGTATATTTGGTTAAAAATGTTTATGAGCATAATACATGAAGTTCAGAAATACATTCTCCACATACAACAATAAAGATTAAACATTAATATTGCTAATATTCCATTTACTAATGCAGAGAATATACATTTATATTCATAATTACTATATTGATATGATATGATACCTGTACTAACATTAATATTACTAGTTATGCACTATATATACTAACTGGAATCAACTGCTTTATTACATATAAGCAGTACATAAATTATGATTATATCTTGTGAAGTTTTTTTTCCTTAAGCACCAATAAAGAAATGGTAAATAACAAAAAAATTCCAGTGCATAATAAGCTAATAATTAATTTTTTTTCCACTTGCTGGCATTTATCTTTGCAGCATCGCGTATGCAAAAAACTATAATTGCCTCTCATTTTTACTTCGAAAATGGAATAAGACGGGATCAATTCCTGTTCTCAAAGATGATTCGATTCAAAAGCTGTGCAAGTTCGCATCGTCAGATCAGCAAGGATCCACTTAAATACTGCATAAGCGAAAGCTCTTATTTTACAGAATTGTTACACGAGAAGACAACGTCAAAAATACAGAATAAACTTTTCTTCCTGAAGCGTCGTGTAGAAAAATTTTCTTCCACATTCTCGTCCGTCGTCTTTTCATGCGGGATCGTTTGATCGTTATCTTTCGGATATGCGCACCACGATATACCCGTGTGTTTATTCAATTTATTGTTAAAAAAAAATAAATAAATAAACAAAGTCGTGGGTGTTGTTTACGAAAATGAGGGCTGTAAAGGTCACGCGATCGGACGAAGGTACGAACCTCATTGGACGTGTCCACGGTGTGCGCAGTTTTGTTTGCAACGTCCGGCGCCTTCGAGGTTATACGCACGTCGTGCGTCCTGTTACCTTCGGGCGCCGGCTTCCTCGCGTCGACGGACGGCGGAGCGGCCGCGTTTCTCTGGCCGTCCTTATCGTCAGGCAACCTCTCGTTCTTCGTGCCAGCGTTCACGTCCGCGACGGGGACGGCCGCTCTCCCGTTCACGTTCGTCGACGGCGCGTCCCTCTTCTCCCGAACGATCCCGTCGCAGACCGCCGTCTGCGCCAGCAGGAAGATCAGCAGGAATACGAAGAACTTCAGCTTCTGGATCTTCGACCGCGTCATCGTGCCGTGTCATTTAAACGGCGCGACAACGGCGAGCGACGAGACGATATGATCTCTCTATCTCTCTCTTTTCCTCGCCGGTTCACTACGCGACAGTCCGACGTTCCAGCGCGTTCTCCATGTTGCTCGCCGCCCGGCGCGCACAACTACCTAGACGGTCCGTCCGTCCTTCACCGGTACACTCCTCGTCTCGTCGCGCTTCCTCCCTCATCCCGGACCAGCTGTTCCGCGACGAGGCGGCCTTCGGACAGTTCCGTGTCGTCGTCGGCCCCGCCGCGCACATTGTCGCACATGTCGCGTCGCGCGCGTTTATCACGGGTCGTTTATTTGCGTTAAAATTTCATCCTTTGCTGCAGCTTGCAGTCGCGAGTAATGTACGCGCACATGCGTGCGTATATGGGCGTGCATATAGACGTGCGTGCACGCGCCCCAAATGATAAATGTATCGCGGTTAATGAAACTGTACATTAATTAGGTAAATATACCAATTGCTGATATTAGCAACTGATTAGGGCTTATATATGTACAGTCGTGGACAGATCAGTTGCGACACTTTTTTATGGGTTTCTAATATATATTTAATATACATAATATATACTTTATAGATAACTAATATTTTGCAAATGCGAACCACGATGTACTATCTTTAGTCTACGAGACAGTGTAACACCAACCGTGGTCCGCATTTGCAAAATATTAGAGCGTTTTGAAACCTATAAAAAAGAAAGTGTCGCAACCGATGTGTCCATGACTGTACTTTTTTTTTATGGGTTTCAAAACGCACTAATATATATTTTGCAAATGCGATTGGTGTTATATACTGTCTCTAGACTATAACTTAAAGATAGTACATCGTGGTTCGCATTTTGTAAAATATTAGTTACCTATATAAAATTAATATATATTATGTATATTAAATATATTAGTAACCTGTAAAAAAAAGTGTCGCAACCGATCTGTCCACGACTGTATACATGGAAGAAAATTATATTTGTCAACTTATGTTCGTACAATTCATAAGCATAGTTTACATCGATTATTTAATACACACGTTTGAACTTTCTATTAAATTTTGTTAATTTTGGAGGCTTGAAAATTTCATTAAATTTTACATCACTGAGACATCGCGTGTTACTTGGAATCCTACGTAATATAAATAAAGAAAAATCTGCGAAGAATGTTTCACACGCCGCATATAACATTAAATTACACTGCTGCCTCAATTTATTTTTATACCACTATTAATTATTGTTATTGATCATGACACATGTCGTACTAAGTAAACGTGTGTCACTCTTTCCAAAGTGAAATTGACGTGAAATTTTTGTTAAGGCTCACAATCAGTCAAGCTGACATCTGGACCTTGTCAAGAATGTTATTTGGCTTGGGCTAAATTCCGAACTAACGTGAACGCCGGATTGACTTGTCAGTATTATTATTTATTATTATTATTGTGTTATTCTGTATTATTCTGTTAATGTGGCTAGAAAAATTAATCTTGCTTAATGTATAATACATAAAGAAATAGCGAATCAAAGATAATCCGGCAATAAATATAATACATAGTTCGAAATTTTTCAGTAAGCAATTTCGTCGGTCGGATTAATCGTTGCTATCAATCAGTTGATCGAAATCATGTTTTTCTCCCGCGATTCCGAATGCACCTTTACGCAAACTGAGTCCGTAGAATACCGTCCGTGTCTCCTCTTGTTTAGCTTCCTTTTTTTTCCTTTTTGTTTTTTGCAAATGAATGTGACGGTATAATTCATATAGTTGTCACGTCGATCGTTAATCGCGTGGTCTCATTGGCGACCGCTAGCGCAGATAAGATGCTATCAGATGCCATCGTCGATAGATACGCACTGCCAGTACTGAAAATCTACAGTTCGCGCTACGTATGCTATAGGTTTTCAGTATCGGCGCAGTGTATATCGAAATACACGGCCCTGGTCGTCATTTATATAGCGGCGTCAAAACATCGACTATAGGCGGGGTAAGCTCGAAGTAATCCCTTGTAAACTTTTCTAAAAATGGAACTTGTAGCAGAAGGAATGTGGCACCCTAAACAAAATACAGTTCAATTTTAGCGAGCATCTCAACTAGACAGATACGGATAGACTAGACAGATATTTGCTATTAAAGGTTTCTCGTAAAACTGTCGTGACCCTTTTCTGCCTTTCGGCAGGCTCAGGTATTATGCTCTTGTATAAAAGGACTCGATTCTTTCCAGCAAAATAAGCGAAAACATCGGACGCTGCAGGTACTCATTTTGGGATTCGAAAGCGGCTCGTGTGTTTGCCAACGCGAATGAAACAGCTGTTTTTACGTGCGTCTATATAAACTTTCGCAGGAATGGTCACAAGGATGGATCGTGGATGATTCAGTTTTTTTCTAATAAAATAAACATATCATTTGTTTTCTAGGAATATTATGACCGCAGTAGATACATGATTCCCGAGTTTGCAATTAAATATTAAATAGTTAATTCCTTGTCGAACAACGTACGAGACTCTGCAAAGAGATTTCGGATTCTCTTTCCGTGTCATTTATTGCGAATAATAAATCATCCGAAACGCCGCAGCTTCTTCTCTTCGTTTTTTGTCCTCTCCTGTACCAAGAAGAGGCTTCTAAACTTCCTGGACGAGGAAGTTTAATGCCGAATTAGAGAGTTCAAGAGCTACATGAAAAAAATAAAGAGGGACACATTCATGTATTTACATTCAGTGGGGTTTGTAACAGCGATGAACGAAATTGAAATAACAGGTCCTTTGCAATGCAAAAATGGTAATGTGTATTTGTGTGTCTGTATAACGGTGAGCGGTTGTATGTGAGTGTCCGCAGTGTTCGATCGCCGAGTTCGAGCCCGTAGGTTCGCTAGGGTTCCAAAGAATTGTGCAGATCAATCCCTTCCTGCGGGATCATCCGAAGCCCGTTTAAATAGATTTCGCGCATAAACAATCGGCGCGAGCGCGTGCCCTCCCGTTCCAAGAATACTCGTTTGTATTTGCGGAATAACGTTGACACGCGGCGACCAATGGATGCGAGGCCGATTTGACGCGCGGTATGTACCCGCGCCTGTGTGCGCCGCATAATCAGCGAGATGCCGCAGTGCAGGATTTAAATCTGTCGCGGTCCCCAGGTTGAGTCAAGCTCCCATCGATATTAACGTCCACATTTCTTCAACGTCAAGATTAAGTCTCGGTTTAATTTATACTCTTTATATTTTTTATTTCTATTAAAATTGGAAAAGACAAGTTAAACTGAAATTAAAATTAATCTTTATTGATAGAAATGGATCGACATTAGTAACTTCCGTCAAATTCTGATTGACTTATTGGCAATTAACTCAACCGGCTTGACTTGTTTACTATACAGAATTTCAAACTACACAAATCGATTAAATCCATTTTTTTCTCGGCTTTCATTCGTCTTTTTGACATTTAAAGTTTTTTTAACGAATATCAAGCATTGAAATACTCGCGGCAAAAAGATATGAGTTATATGTGTGTCTCTTTTAAATAGGTTTAATATCAAGTCCTAACATTAACTAAGACTGAAATTCGACGATTCGATTTCGCTTCTCTATGTTCGAAGACTTATAATTTCTTTTTTTTTTTTCACAGACTTTGCTGATGATTGGCAATAAATTCTCGACAATCTGATGAATCTTTTTTCGTCTCTTCTTTTTTCTCAGACTCTCTGGATTTTTATCGCTGACATGTTTTTCCGCGGGTGGAAAAATTGGCCCGTGGGCGTCGACGCGGGAATCCGGCCCTGTTGCGCGTATATACATTACATGCGTGCGATACGGGACGGGACGCGAGACGCGAGCGGCGAGACGCGAGGTCCTCGCGAGGACGGGAGAGGCCGCGACAGTTGGGGCGAGCGAGCGAACGGGCGAGCGTGCGAGGGGAGTGAGTTCGCGGTTTGCGGGTAAGTCGCGATCGCGAGTTCGGTGCGTGCACACATCGGCTCGCGTTACATTTACATATATATATGTATATATACATGCCCGTCTCGGCTGTGAACGGCGCGCCCGCGGCCGCGATCGGCGACAGGTCAAACGACGGCGTAGCGGACGGCTCGCGACTCTGGCCGATCGGCTGGCTGAACATGATGCGCGCCTGCGACGACACGTCCGATATACGATTGGAGAAGCTCAGAGCGGCGGCGACGGCGGCGAGCGGCGCCGTCGCGACGGTGTCGGGGAACGGGAACGGGGACGCGGACAACAACACGACGACGGCGAAGGTGAAGGAGGCGACGTCGAGGAAGTGCGAGGGACAGCTGTCTATGCTGTGCGCGGCGAACAGCTGTTCGTCCTGCAAGCCTGCGTGCCGTACGTCAGAAATGGCGCAGGAGGACCACCACGGCCCGTCCTGGGACAATCTGCCCACCGTTATCTTGCAGGAGATATTCACGTATTTGTCGCACGAGACCAGAATAAGAGCCTCCCAGGTATATAGCGAAAGAATGCGCGAGAGAAAGAGAAAGAGAGAGTATGTGTGAGTGTTTTCTGTGTGTGTGTGTGTGCGCGCGCGCACGAGAGCCTTGCCTCTTGTTTTCCTTTTCCTCACGATCGTTTGCGCTGTAAACTGACCTGACATTGTGCGGCCGATAAAGCCGTCGCAAGTTAATCACAAGAATATTTCTCGTGCGACGGAATGTATACCAATGAAAGTAATGAAAATTCGCCACTATCTGACATACGCTTGCTCAATCGTTATTTGCGTGAGCAAAAATTTGATTTACGAACGTATCGTTATGTGCGTGCGTGCGAGGAGAAGGGAATTACTATATACTCTATATATATTCTGTTTTCTGCATTATTATATCAAGCGATAAAACAGCGAGTGTATCGCCAACGATCATTTTTACGATATATCTCATTATCGTGTCAATATGTGATAAAGATTAGATCTTTAGTGATATTAAAAAACTGTAAACTTGATACTCACGTGATATAATTTTTGTAAACAATGTTTTATACACACAAATGTAGATAGTAAAAATGATTGTTGGGGACAGCTTTATAAATCTTTATTTATATCAATGTCAACTATTGATTTATTAATATTTATGCTTAATCAATACAAGATCTGTACAACGAATTTGTTATTCAATTTTCGTAGGTATGCAGAAATTGGAGATACACCTTGTTCCACCCAAACTTTTGGAAAAAAATCACTTTTGTGTTCAGAGATGAGGACAGCGTTTTGTGGGCCCGGTTCGTAAGACTTGCACATCTGTCTTCACAGATTCATCAAGTGTCGTTATAGTACATGCAGCATGTTTGTTGCAGATCCTTGGCAAATCGTTTCGCTCTGAGTGTGCACGAAGCTACAATTCGTTGGGATATACCTAGAAACATCAATTGCACAGGTGAAACGTACAGGCTCTTGAAGAAATTAGGTCACAATAGACAACTGAGAAAATTGTTCCTGGAATTCAATAGTAATACTTGTGATTCTCCTTTTGACAACGAGGATGACAGGTATTGACAAATTGATTTTATCTAGCGTACAGGTCAGCCAGCCTTCTTGTTACATGTTCGATAAAGTTGGATTGATTGTTCGTTTCTTTCAGCAATTACAAAAGTTCCGTATCATTAGTAAAATGTGTGGTGAACATTATTGAGACTTCTAATTGCCTGGAGACCCTAAGTCTGGGATGCAGGGAAGAGTTGATAGTGAATTTGTCCGCGATTTTGGAACCACTCCGTCTTCATCACTCCAAACACTTAACACACCTCAGTCTGGCATCTATCAAGGACGATCCTGACTATTATGACTTCTTCGAATTCGATAACTCTATTTTTAATTCGTTTATCAGATTGTCTATCTTAACTCTGGATTACGAGTATGTCAGCGATTCTTTATTGGAAGCGTTAGATAATGGATGTATGCAGAGACTTGTGATTCATATACATGGCTGGAAAGAGGATTATCCGGGAACGACGAATATGGCCTGGCAAATGTTCGTTCAGAAAAAGTGAGTCACAGTTAATTTTGTCGCACTAGCCATATTTGGAATTATTTTGATCATTTAGCAATAATAGTAAAAAAAAGGTAAAAAAAATATACATAAATATTTATTTCCAGCCCGCAGTGTGAATTAAGGCTCAATCTTATACATTCTTATGCCGGCGTTAAGGTTTTGGATACTGATATATTCTGTCCCGCTATGCCATTGACACACTTACAAGTTCTGTTCTGTGAAAACATTAATATCAGAGCACTACATCGATTATCAATGTGGTATTCACATACATTGAAGTCATTGACATGGATAGACTCGATAGATCGAAAGCAACGTATACCGTCTACATTTGATCCAAACGATCCAAATGGGTAAGTAAATTTTCTATGCTTTTACTTAACATATTTCCTTTTTCTCTGATAAGAGTATTATCTATGTACAATTCTATTATAGTCCAGACTCCTTGGTGTTGGTGGCATGGAAGTGTACTAAACTTACGAAGATGGTGTTCCTGGGGCATAAGTATTACCAAGAGAATCTATTGGCCATCGCACGTCTCAGAGGCAGCACTCTTAAATTATTGGTTTTTGCAAAAAGTGATATCACATCTGAAGTTGAATCGTGGCACGAGGCTGAGAACATCAGACGTGTGAGTAAACAGGCATATACCTTTTCAAGTATAAGGAATTAGATGTCACGTTTTCATTCGATTAACGAACTATCGATTGCGAAATCGAGAGACTTTTAAAATATTAAGTATTGTAACATATTTAGGAAATTCGAGAGATAATGGGTCCACATTGGATGCCGTTGAGTGACACAGATCTGCCAATGGTGATACTGGATCCTTTCAAAGGCGATAGTAGAGAAGTGATTATGCCATTGGTTCTCAGTGATCAAAAGTAATTCTGTCGAAGCCAAGGAAAAAAATCTCTATCCAGTGTGATTATCCAAAAATCATCTCCGGGCCATCAACATTCTCAGAAGTAATGTTATCAAATTACATCTTTTATTCTTCTACAAGATTTTTTTTAACGAGGGTGAAACACACATCGAACAGCAAATACGCACTATAAGTTCGAAATCTCGTTGTCAACGGCGTTATCGTTTTCCGAGTTAGGAATTCTGGGTGCAATTGTATGAGAGATACAAGATACAGAGAGAGAGATAGAGAGATAAACGCACACATAATTTTCTCCTCGTTTACAATACTTCTATCGGTTATATTAATATGAATGTGATAAATTGTAGTCAAACTAGATCTACTTTCGACTTGTTGATGATGTATATCTGAATGCAAATTACAACACATTTGCAAACAATGAGACGATCTCTACAGCTAAGAGATCTCTCCAGTGATTTATATGTGCACTATAGTTTTCTTCTTATGGAAAACCGTATGAGTCGCGCTTTGATGTTGACAAAGTGACGCTAGGAGTGTGATCACGAACGTACATTACACGCATTAAGAGCGATATACTTAATGTATATATCGCCCCTCTCGCCTATTTAAGTCGATATATCGCCAGAAGAAGCCAGAGTACGTTTTATATAACTACAATTATTATTCTGGTCAAAGAGAGCGGCACATTTAGAACGGCGTAGCTGAGAACAAGATCGCATTGTAAGAGGACTGTGTCTTGAATTCTTGCTAGAGATGCATAATGCAAAGCGCAGCGGAGCTGAAGCACAAGGATGCCAACGATTTTGTCCAGCGGAAAAAGAGAAAGTGTGCAGCACGTAGGAGAGAGAGAGAGAGAAAGAGAGTGAGAAAGAGGTTCGGATCTCGTGAACTTCCACTGGAAAGAATAACAAAATTCCAAAACGTATGTAAGTAGAAATGCGTTTAACAACATATTTTTCCAATTCTCTGGGAAGTTAGGTGATAGCGAGCGCCAAGAGCATGACGTGCGAGAGTAAATATCTAGTAAGACTTCGCGAAGAGTTCGTCGAAATGTGAGCGGCGCGGGAGCATAAGAGAGTCTCGAGGACAGAGAGAAAGTAGTAAGAGAGCACGAAGTCAATACAGCGATCCGAGGTTATTTTTAATACCAAGACCAATCGGACGCTTTTGTACAAATGTTAACGTAGCGCGCACCGGAACAAGCGCGGTTCGCTCGACGGAAGAGCATACGGTTGCGAGCGAGAACGAAAACAGACAAAAAAAAATATATATATATCGCTCGGTATATATTTACACGCCTGTCCATGTATAACTTTCGACAGGTGTTAAACGTGAGTAGCGATCGAACGTGTAACGTGCAAATATATGTATAACTGTCTATACTCATCGTGCTCTTAGCGACCGCTGATGACGAACACACGAATATAGGTATACCTGTAAAATCGGAGTTATTAATCGCTAATCGTATATGTATGTATATGTATGTATAACTGTATTATCTGTCGAACTTTAAAACACGTCAACATCCGGACGCAGCGCGCATCTATTTCTGTCGTGCGATTAACAGTGACGATTCTGAGAGCGTGTTTCAAAGAGAGAGAAAGGAAGCGAGAGTGAGAGAGAGAGAGAGAGAGAGAGAGAAAGAAGAGCGCTATATTCGTAACAAAGATAAAATACCAAAATGCAGCCGTATATGCCGTATATACACACAGTTTACTATTCCGAGAGGTTATTTACTTTTTTTCGAGCCCTTGTATAATTATATTACATTATCGTGTATATCGTATATAGTCACACGTGTATTAATATGGTTTTTTATATGTGGTTTCTGTACATACATCTCTCCATACGTTCGGGACACTATAGATACACGCGCGAACGACGCGGAATTGCGTGCGGAAAAAATACACGAGGAAGGGAGGGGGGAGAGATTAAGGGAAGCACAAAAGGAGGGAGGAGAAAATACGAGAGGGGAAGGGGAGGGAAACAAAGCGTTTCTTTTCGACATACGACCAGCTGTTATACAAGATGAACGGGCCTTAATATGTACCTGAGTCGCGGATAAGGGATAAATCCACTGAGAAATCTGTCACGCGACATCCACCATAGAGAGATAACCAGATTAAAAAAAAAAACACCTTACAACGGTCGCCCGTCCTCGCGAACGTGCGGCGCGCCGTGTGCACACGCGTCCACATTCGCCAGGACCGCGGACCAGGAGGTATATCACGCTCGTGCCCTTTCATTTCGTATTCCGCGCGTGTATATTTTTACATCAGATGTGAGAATAGGGGAGAAAAGTTTAAAAACGCGAAACGAGAGGAGCCGACCGAGGGGAGTAACTCCGAGAGTCGTAACTTATTACACGTACGAACGCGGACGTTATCGACTAACGCTCGTCCGCTGTCCGCCGATACCACGCGGACGGGGCAAAGACTTTAAACGAAATAATTTTTACGTTTCTTCTCGTTTTTCTTTCAAACGAACGGAAATTCCGCGTGAAGAAGAAAAAGAAGAAAAGAATTGAAAAACTATATTCGGGGGCGCGGTACCCAGCGTGTGAGTGTGATAAACGAGCGCGAGAGAGAGAGAGAGAGAAAGAGTAAAGTGTGAGAGCAAAAACCATGCGACAATTACGCGAGAGCGAGTTTTAAATAGCGTGCGAATAGAAACGGAACGAAGAAAAAAATTATTCGAGAACGCGGAGCGAGATGATAACGCGTTTGAATGTAATAACGGATATCCGCGAATCGTAGAAACAAATCAAGTGATATGATAGTACCATCTCTGCGAAGTCCTCTGTAATAAAAGTAATGTCGTGTGTAGAAAGGCGGCCGTGCAGCCGCTCGACGCGGGCACAACGCAAACTATGTAACCACGTGTCACTAGCGTGATAACGACAAAACCACAAGCATAAGACTGAACCTGCCGGACGGAGGTGTATACAACAAAAGTCGAGCGGGCTGCATGCCGGCCGCCGCGCGTTGCCATATTCATAAGAGGCGGCAGGACGGAAAGCACATCCGGTCGAAAAAAGGAAAAAAAATAATAATAAATTGTCGCCGTTCCGAGCTGAACGCGCGGTAACCGTCTCTTTCCTCACGGTGTTTTCTCCGCCGCGCTTTAAGACGCGGCTTTCCTTCCACGTTGCTTTCCACCTCGGCCTGGTCTAAACAAAATCGCATCGCCGTTGCGATCGAGCGAATGCGAAACGTATTTTATGAATATGCGCGTCGCGAAAGCGAAATAAAACAAAAAAAATAAAGGGATGGTGCACAAGCTAGCGTTTAGATCGGAATAAGCCCTGAGAGAGCTCACTCGACGGCGGTTCTCGTATAGAAGCCGATATTGTAAACTTAAACCCTTAAAGCAGCCTGCCAAGAATCAAAATACTGTAAAATATCAAACGAAACGCTAGCCAGTACAGAATGCTAAGATCTATTTTTTAAGAAGCGAATGTATATTTTTGTACTAAGGCAGGCCTTAGCGTGTGATCGTGTCTTCTTGTGCATAAATGGGATGAGATCTGTGATTGTAACACGTGTTGGCTATACAAAACACAAAAGAGGGAGAGAGAGAGAAAGAAATCATCACGAGAAATGTATGTCGAAAGCGTAATCATACGCGTAGTATGCAAAACAACATAGGGAACACAACACGAGGATCCCTGATTGTTGACCGAGTGAGCTGTAGACATAGGCAGGGCGTTATAAAATCGAGAATAAAACATCTGTGATAAAGTAGAAAATCTTACAAGCGTGTTCGAGGGTGGATGAAGATCGGCGAGTGTCGGTAGAGAGTATATGTGAAAAAAATCAGGAGAAAAGGGAGAGAAAGAGAGAGAGAGGACTGTTGAGGACCGAAAATCCAGGCGCGGGCGTTGGTAAAATTTCAACGCGCAAGACCAGCGATTTCTTCGAGATTTAAAAAAAAGGGGGGGCCTGTGACCTCCGACGCTCCAAGGAAGAAATTTGTCGTGCGTGTGATCGATTAGGAGATCAAGAAAGAAATGAGAGAGTGAGAGTAAGAGAGAGAGAGAGAAAGAGAGTGAGACTGTCTTTCGACAAGATAGCCCGGTCTAACTAGCAGACGACGACGACAACGACCTGACCAGCTCAATCGCGCGCTTTAATTTACACGTGGGTTTGCAACGCACGTTTATTTTTCTTTTTTTTTTTCTTCTCGGCCAGAGCTGGAGCGATCAGGCGTGCGCGTTCCGCGGTGGAGCCGTGGTATACACTTACCGGAAGTTTGGTATACTGCGTAAAGTATATTTCCTCGCATGACCCTCGTCATTTAGCGGCGCGTGCCAGTACCACGGCTCTCAGGCGGAAAGCACGACGAACGCAAAGAGTTTTCTTGTTGCTCCGTCTACGACATTCCACGGTGAGAAGCGAGGATACGCGCGACCGCTCCGCCGAACTTCTTAACGAACAACACGTTGGTCCTCTCGACTCACCCCCAACTGTAGAGAATCTTTGCAGCGGCTAGCGTTGCTCCTCCGGTTGAAATCCGCCACTGATGGCGAAGCGCGCGCATTTAGGTAAATTATAATAGAAAAAGAGAGAGAGAGAGAGAGACACAAGGGAAAGAAGCGTTAAGTTATCGTCGACTGAAAGCAAGATCGCACAAGATAATCGGGGTACAGCCGGAGTATGTATATGTATGTATATAGTTTGATTTTGACACGGACACGCATTTTTTGTTGAACCCGCGCGGACGAAGCAGTCGCCGTCGGGTCAGTTGGCGGCCACGAGTAGTATTATAAGTTCCTAGAAAAAGAAAGAAATACTTTACAAACGCGGTTTAACGCGATAGAACGAAGAGAGGGCCGCGGCATACGAATACACACGCCCGTGCGCGAACAAGAAGGGGAGCATTCAGTCCAACGATTTAGATTTGTTCACTCGCTCGTTCGTTCGTTCGTTCGTTCGTTGATTCGTTTGTTTTCGGCACTTTCCAATACTTTCGGACATGGCACGGAGTAATACGTCGTCACATAATTTAACGAAGTACGAAGTACATGTAATATCCATTCCAGTCGACGGGAATGTAGCGTGATTTGTATGTACTGTCGCGAGGAAGATCGGGGACAGGCAGCGCGAATCGTCGAGCGAATCGGATCCGGGAGAAGCCGCATATAGTAAATTGCGTAGCATCGATTTGATCTTTGTATCGAGTTGTGCGTGTCTCGTTCTTTTAGATGATCGCCCCAAGAGCGATAGACTATTCGATAGACTGTTTAACTTGAGTCTCAAAACGACGATCTTGTTAATTCTATATAAGAGGCACAAACGAACCTGTAGTAGTAACTATGCCTGTTTCCGTTAGATCGTCCTCGATTAGGTCGGCCGTTCCTATATCTGAATTGAGAATTCGACTTGCGTTTACCGTCGAAACGCACGGCTCGTTTATGTACGTTTCCGATTGTACTTGTACCTGTCGTCGCGACGTCGGCGACCAATGCGCGTTCCGTCCCGTAAACAGATGATCCTTACCCGTCGGGACGGGAACGCCGGTATCGCCAGACACGCGCATTCCTCTATCGATATCACACACGTAAGAGTTACACAAACAGCGTTTAGATGTAAGCAACGAGCTGTGTAAGCGAGAACAGAACCGTTCATACACCGTTCGCGCAATCAAGCCTGAAGGTTTCCGTATAATCTTTCACAAAGGGCTTTTACGGGGGCCCGCGTATGTATATTTTGTCGCTATAATATTCGTTCATAGCTCACGAACGGATCTTACAACGTCCTAGTTCTATAGCATGCGCGAGTAAATGCCACCGAGCATTGATGGGTGGTCATTCGAATGCACATCCGTCCCGCGGATGCACGGGACTTTTAGCTCTCTATCGCCCGACTCGTGATCTCTGAGGATTCGGAGGCGAGCGTGGCGCAGCGTAAGTTCAAGTAAAATCTGTACATTTGCAAACGCAACGCCTGGAAACGGGTCGTTGCGACTTGAAGTTAGAATTATTAGACAAAGCGGAGGAACGCGAAGGAGGAGTAATGTAAATGTATAATGTAAATCAGTACATGTGATGTGACACAGGGCCGATAGAGAGTTAAATCGAAAAGAAAGCGTAGCGTGTAATGGTGGAATGAGCCAGAGAGCATCGAACGCACTGTACCACGCTCGTCACTGCGATCTGTATTGCGTGCGATCCGCGAGGGATCGAAGAGTCGCGCGCGGCGAAAGAAGAATGGTCTCTCGCGTTTTTATTCGTCTGAGAGGGTATATTAAAACCGAGCAAGAGCGATGTAAAAGAATTTGTACACGACGACAATCTTCGTTAGATGCGCCGTCATCGAAGTGGATTCTTGAACACTCGCCTGCGAACTGATTCGGGGAAACGATGCTAAATCGATTCTTGACGCTAATGCGAATTTCCAAGCGTATATTCCAGATTTGAACGCGGTTCTAAAACACGAAGGGGACATTCGGGCGTCGTGCAGTATATGTATATGTATATTGGCGTTACTATAATGCTGTCAGTATAAAATTTGGTTTATCGCTGTGAGAATTTTTTTTTTTTTTTTTTTTCCAATAAGAATTTCGCTTTTAGCACGGGTCAGTTTTAGCTTCTCAGCGCAGGGAAGACATGATCTATCCAAAAGGATAGAAACCCCTTAGTACCCAGGTAATGTTACCACAGAATCTCGCCTCGAGTTCAACCGATGAATAATTACGAATCTTATGTATAAGACATATGTCATTTTTGGACTCCGTCACGTCGATTGAATTGTCTTAAACCGGGTGTCGTTCCCGGATCGTCAATCTTTAAAAGGCACCGCGTCGATATTAAAACGGTTGAATAAGAACGGGACTCTGCAGTTAGGCGTTAAAACAAGAGCAATTGAGAAAGCGCGATCGAATGCTCTGCGAATGTTGTTCCCCCCGCCGCCGCGGGTGGAACGAAGTTGAAATGACGCGAAATCGTGGCGGACACGGCCAAGCGGACCAAGATATACCTGTGTAATTACTTCTTCGTCGACTCCGTAGCATTTAGTTTTCATTAAGTATTAGCATCGTCGGCAGTTGATGTCGATTGTACACATTGTGATGAGGAATTGCGCGAAAGTCACGCGCTCGCTCTCCGTGACGGTGACGGCGTGCTCGCCGCGATTTAGCGTCGCTTTCACATTTTCCTGTTTGCAAAAGCGGCGCTTCGTCGATGCGTCTCGACCCACGTTACTCGTTACACCCGGCGTCGTTCGATCGACAACGCCGCAATGAAAAGAAAAAAAAAAGAGATCGCGATCGGTGCTAATTAATCGACGTGCTAACCAAACGTAAACGCGTGACGCGTTGCGTCACACGTTTCTCGTACACGTGCAGGTACGCGCGTTGCACGTTGCAGATATGTATAATGTCGGGATGTCGAGGAAAGGGGAGGGGGATGTTATTAAGCGAGGGACCTTTAAAGAGTCTGGGAGCGTTCTGGCAATCGGCTTTTCCTTGGCGACATGGGACGGAGACTCTGTATTTAATGTAATCGAGAAGTTCCATCGCGAGTCTAATACTTCCGCGCGTCTTTCGAAGCTCCGCTGAATCGCCGCCGGATGAAGTTCTCGATAACTGAGCTTCGTCGCGCCGAAAGGAAAAGTCGCTTCCAAGCTCCTTCGCGCGGACGGAAATAATCGTCTCACTATCGTTACACTTTCCTTCGGACAGCCTGCGTAAGCGAACCTCAAGACGGTTGTCCTCATTATCTCGAGGACAGATCTTGTTCGGACATATAGTTTCGCTGTATATATTTAAGGAGATGGGTTTGCAGAGAGCGCGCGATGACGCGCGCAGACGACGAGCGCGGGGACCCGTTTCCTCTTCGTGTGAGGTCGATGCGAGATCGGAAAAACGGCATCGGCATCGAATCAGCATTGGAAGTCTCACTCGTTGTTGCTTTGTGATGTCGGACCACCATACGAATGAACCAACCGCGCTATATATTTTTCTCTGCCAATGTAATCGCGTCATACACTACCGAAATAATTGTCTCACTTAGCGAGATTAACGAATTGTAAGATGTATATGTATGTACGTTGTGCGTGTTCGTCTATTCTATGCGTATTATATTGTGTGCGTGAGCGCGCCGACGAGAGAGGCTTCGCGATCGTAGATTAATTATCGCGCGGCTTAATTCGACGACGAGGAATATCGCGGGAGGTCGGTTGATTTTTTCCGCTGTCCTATTCGTGCTCATTATTATATTCGAGATTGCCGCCGAATAACAGCGGTGTAAAAAAAAAAAAAAAACACGAAGCTCGTAATCGTGCATTATTTTCTAAGCACTATCGGTGTTAGAGCCGCTTCCCGATGCCCTCGACGCGCGTCGAATCGCATCTAACTGTGAAACAATGAAAATTAATACGCTGCAAAAAAATAATTGAGGGGATCATACAGGGTGGTAACAGCTTTAAAGATTGTGAATATCTGCTTAAGAACAAAGTTTAAGTTTTAGGATTGGAATTTTGAAATGCCAAGTAGCCTTCGAGACATATTGTTTCTTACACTATACGTCTTTCCCTTAAAATCTAGTCTAGTTAATTATTTTGTTGAATAATAGCTACACAAAATGGAAAATAATTTGTTTTGTAATATTTTTTTTTTATGAAGATGTATTTATTTTTGAAATAAGCCTTAACAACATAAATGTCCCTTTATGTTGTTTTTGTTAATAAAAAACATATAGACTGGTTACATAAATTAATAAGTATTTTTTTAAAGTCTCGCAGGAACATTACAGGTTTCTTCGATAATGTAGATCCACCAGTGACTGAAGAAAATTCAACGAGAGTATTTTTCATATATTTAACATGCTGTTACACTTTTTGATCAATTTGTTCCATGAAGAAATTAATTATCCTATTTTTCTTTGGTTTTTGATAAATATATATTTGTAAACATATTTTTTTAGCTCTTTTGATAAACTGATTTGTTCGTTTAAAGCAGCGGTGCCTCAATTATTTTTGGGCAGTGTATAATATTCTGTCGGTCCATCGATTTAATGATCGTCGAGACGCTCGTCGTTGCGTTTTAATTTTTTATGTGCCGTTATGCATTATTATTAAATTAACGATATTAGTAAACGTACTCCAATTATTCCTTCGACTAGAATTCGACTTAACGCTCTAACAACACATACCAAATTCACACAAATCTTTAGTCAGATACGTAATATATAAGATTTAACCCGATTCAATTGCTCGTCCCGTTGTACGCAATTAATTACAATTTCTCTATTCTTAAAAGCTAGTCTCCTCGAGATTATCTTATATATCAGTTCTACAGTTTATTTGACAGATTTGTTTTTTGTTGAATTTGGAACATCATAGACAAACTGAGATATTAGACTAATAAAATTCGCTCATTTTTGTTTCCCATATTAGTTTTTACGCTGACCGAATAGAAGAAACGCACGAAGGAATTTTTCATCAAGCTAATAAGTTGCGAATCTGATTATGTATCGTTGTCAGAGCGTTAAGTCATCGTTAATGGCACCGAATACAGGACTACGTTAGTTGTAGGAAGGGAAAAAGGAGTAGACTAAATTTTCGGACTTTGACTCAGTGATTCTTACGTTTCTTCTCGTTCCTAGACTACACACGGAACTGCGGCCGAGCTATTTGCGCGGCGCGTTGTGATACATTCTTTGTTTCTTCATACTTTTTTGTTCTTTTTTTAAATATATATCAAATACATCTTTTCTCCGAACTGCTTGCGAACGTGTCTCTCTTGCAGCTTCGTATGTCTATAAATTTCTCGTATTCTACTTGTGCATATATATTTCGGTACACACTCTTGACATCCGTAACACGAGTTTTTACGCCGCGTTCTAGTGCGAGTTTCGTTCCACACGCGAAAGCTTCCCTGGAATTAATTTCGAAGCATCACGATATTTTCTTGTTTACTCGGCGTACTCTTTTCCCCACTCCTGGAATAATACAATTCCGAAAACACGATCCCGGAATACAGTCGTGCGGAAAGGTCGAGGCTCGTCATTACAACCCGCGGAACCTGTGTTACGCACTGTAGAAGTCTGTTATTGTACCACTTTAATGCTACAAATTATGTAGTACCACCACCGTTTCTCGCGGATGCGGATAGTCCCGGGCGAGCATTTTTACATATATCGGATTACCGTTCTAACAAATCAGTATTCCTTCGACTTCGAAGTAACCGTAGGATTGTGTACCGATCTATCGTTTTTACGTCACTCCTGTAATAATAGAAACCAGATGTTTTTTGGAAATGTGAATCAATTTTTAAAAATGTATGAATCGATAAATAAATAATGCATGGCAACTTGAATGCCCCTTCACATTCTTGTAATCCTATAAAAAATATATATGCAATTAAGATTATTCGTTATCCTTGTTGCAAGAAAAATCGAGTACAACTTTTCTATTGTACTTTATTATTTTTAGCCTTTAATATGTATAATAACATTTTTTTATTATGGATAAAGCGATTTTATAATAAGTAATAACTAATCTTTTTAAGAAAATGAATATTTTAAATTTTCCCGAGACATTTAATTTTTAAATTTGTTAAGTCTGCCGAGAAATTAATTATAAATATATAACAATCGTTTAGAAATTCTTATCTCTTTTAAACTAGAAAGTCAGATTAGAAACAGATTGCCTCCGTGTTAAATCAAAGATAATATCTATTCTCTTGCTGGGAAAATAGATTTAAAAAAAAACTGACTATATTGTACTATATTTGAAATTAAAAAATATATATTAATCATTGCGTCGCGTTCGTCCGAGGCGATTCGACTTGAAGTGAATCGGAAACGCGCGGCTCGCTCCTGACGCCGCGCGCAACGCCGCGGCAGACAAGTGGAGCGGGGGTTTATTTAGACGACTGTCGACGATTATCAAAACTCCTAGATGCCGCATCCGGTAAAGTTCGGTATTGGGGTGTGTTTCCGGTAAGCCCCATAGCTGGCGACACCCGACCTGCGTCAGCAAGGGATTGCTGGGATCTCGAAGGATGACCTATTGTCCATTTCTCCCTCTCTCTCTCTCTCGCCCTCTTTTTCTCCCTTCGTCCTTCCACCCTGCAGTCACTCATCCGGATGGCGCGACACCGCGCCCGAAACGATACCCGGCGAAATCGAGCCCGCGCGGAAGGAAGAGGAGGAAGGGGGGGATGGGGGGGAAGGAGGGCAGACATCAACGGCGGGCGAGGCCGCCATGTTGTATCGCTCTCGTTAATTTTTGCGCAGAGGCGTCGCGATTTTTTTCCCCGTCCGCGCGCTCAAGGTTGAGGTGCCCGGGCAGCAGGCTCCCATCCCTCCCTCCTTTTCCCTCCTTCCCCGTCGCCTCCCTTGATCGCATCTCCGCGACTCTCCTCTCTTCCGTCTCTTCTCCGCGCCTATCTTCACAGCCGCGTTCTGGAATGACAGGATCAATTTCGAACATGCACTCGCGAATGCATGTTGCCTCCAATATTCAGATTTCACTTCGCAGGTTTCGAGCGTTGCTCGTAGAACACTTTCATAGCTCGCTACATCGATAATCAGAAATGGGGCGTTTTTAATGCGATTAAGATGTGTCGATTGAAGTTGGCCGAATAGTAATTAGCGCGTAATTAGAGCGACCACAAAACTTTCTAAAAAATGTATGCGCAATAACGAAGCATCGAGTCTTCGCTTTGGCAGTAAATGGATTTCGTGCTATTACGACGTATTCAATGAGGAAAAGAAAAATGAAAGAGATATAAATCAAAATGTGCGATCGACGCGCAGAAATCGTGAGATCATTCCCACGCGGCTTTTCCGCGTTCCAAAACTCATTATAGAGAAAGAGATCGCGATTTTTTCGCTAACGATAATATTTCTCTGAGAGATTCGTACTCAAAACTCCATTTCCCAAATGGCATTTTCGTTTCTGGAAACTGTCGCAAAAAGCTGGTTTTGTTCCGACGTGATTCCGCGCGGTCGGGAGTACGGCGGTTGTTTTTCGAGGCGTCGTAAAAACTAGATCAGGTTCAAACCAGCTTACAGCACACTCGATCTCAGCGCGTATTCGAGAACATTTTGCGCCATTGACTATAACTCCGGCGGATCGAGGATCAACGTAAAATGTCCTTATTAAGACGCGTAAAAATTTTCTGCTAGCTGTAGCCCATTTTGTCATTTCTTTTACCGTCCGATAGAAGTTTAGCATCTTTTCCGACATTTTCAAGTAATTCTCCCCGTGACCCGTGACGATACTTCTTATCACTTCAATAAAGATTTACATGATTAAAGAATAAGCTAATGTTCCCAGATTTTTTCGAACATGCGCAGTAGCGCCGCATTCGGCTCAGTAGCGTGAACATTTTATTGAAACAAGTGGTGCCGTCGAGTTTACAAAAATCAAGAGGATTCGGAAACGCCGAAGAGAATTAACTTTCCGTACCAATCCGCGAAGTGCTTTATCAATCGAATGAAGTCCGTCGGTACAGCGAAATCTTTAGGCACGCAGTCGAATCGACACAGATATCGAGATTTATTGAAAAGATAACGGAAAATAATAATAAAAGGCGCCAACAATTTTTAATCGAGAGTCTCCCTCCCCACGCGGTTGGCACTGATCGTCGAGGCGGTCACGTGGTTTGATGCGCGCATGCGGGGAGAAATTCCACGCGTCTGCTAATGTCGGCGCCGTTGCGCATGCTCGGAGAGAGCGAGAGAGAGACAAAGAGAGAGAGAGAGAATAGAGATTCTCTCCCTCCATCTGGGGGAACTCGGTCGCTGTGTCGCTCCACTCGCGGCGATACAACTCCGGAACTCGGGCATACTCTTTCGCGTGGAAGACGTGCGTGCGTGCGTTGGTGCGTGCGTACGTGCGTGCCTATCGGCGGCAGAGGAATCCCGGTTGGAACATGTGATGAAGTGTGCCGCGTGTGCGCGCGATCACGATTCGTCGAATCGTGCACGGCGCCGGTATACGTGAGGAGAGAAGAACGAGCGGGCGCTCGTCCGCGACGACGCTCAGCGGCAAGACAAGCGGAGGGACAGACGGACGGACGGACGGACAGACGGACGGACGAACGGACGGAGGAGCGAACGAACGCGGGCGGGCGGGTGAGTGGACAAGAAACGGACGCTCGGCCGGGTCGACCGAGTGTACGCGTGCACATTGACTTTGTACACATATACGACGCGGTTGTGCGCGATGCGTGCGCGCCATATCGCCGTCGACGAGGGACGGCAGTGAGCGCGGCGTGTGTGAGCGAGCGCGTCGCGCGCGTCTCGCCGTACGCGATACGGAGTGCGACGGACCGCGGTGACGTGTGAAGTGAGGCGCGGAAGCAAGGGGGCGAGGGAAGAAGAAAGAAGAAGAAGAAAAAAAACGGTCGTCGTCACCGGCAACGGCGGCGCGTCTCACATCTCGCCGTACGCGGTCGGCCCGCGTACCGTGTTGCGAAGGAGGAGACGTGCGCGCGGTGAAGGCAGACGAGGAGGAGGCGAGGAAGGAGGTGGAGGAGAGGAGGAGAGAATCGGCTCGTCTCCTCGCATGTCGGCTGAATCGCCACGCGAATTCGGATCAGCCCCGATCGACATCGTAGGTATGTATCGCCGAAGGCCCTGTCGCCTCTACACGGGCGTACCGTAACCGTAACGCGGCGACTGGGGCGGGGAGAGGGGGACAAAGGGCACGGGAAGGTTCAAGGTGCTCCACCGATCGGAAGAGATACCGAAGTTTTTTCTCTATGGACAGATGCGGAAGCCACTGGTCAACAGGGCCGTATTTACTTGCTTGGTACTTCAAGCGCAATATTTTTGGGGAATTCTGCAGGGGCGAAAAAAAAACGAGCGTGTTTTTTTTTGCTATAAATACGTGATGGCATATTTATTATCAAAAAAATTTTTTTATTGATGTTGCAAATATAACGTGGCACATGCATGACTCTCGATATGTAGATATGGAATGCTAATGGACTGCATATTTTATAACAAAATTGATCCGAGTGTTTTCGTGCGCGTAGATCGTTTAATTCATCACCTTCATGCAAAATTAAAATGTCCGTTAAGCGTAGGTTCGTTGAATGTTAGCGGAATTCTTTTATTTATTTTTACCCGTTCAATTTGTAAACAACGTAAAAATAAATAATTAGTATTTTAATTGCTATCATAATTTTAAGTGCGTATTCATGTGTTTTCTGTTTCGTGCATATTTATTATGCACTTTAATTTAAAAAATTGCTCTTAAAAGAATAGCATCTTTTAAGCACGCACATCTTTATATATATTTTAAATAAATAAATGTATTATCTCGAAGTGACTTTGTTAAAAGTAATATTAAAATTTATATTTGCGATTTCTGTTAGTTAGATTTTAAACCTTTAGAAATTATATTTATTTCAACAATTAATTTTGATCTCAAGCATTCATACTGTAGCAATTTCAAAATTAAACGACTGAATTACTTTATTTTTAATATTTATTAAACGTTGTTATACATGACAATGCAAATGAATACAGTCTGCAGATCCATAATAATACAAGAAAAAGATATGTAACTAATTGTTTAGGTAATAAATATAAACATTGCATTAGACTGTGTATAGAACAGTTATAATTGTTCATTTTCTCTTTTTACATCTCAAAATTCTCGTCGTAATTCATATTATTTCATTAATAAATGACGCGAATAAATTGTACAATTTATTTTGCATTTTTTAAGTAATTTGTAATTCTTGTAAGAGCAAAAAATAACAATATATATGTATGTATTCCTCACTTACATTGATAATTTGGCTTACATTGTTAATACATGTTTACGCTTTTGAGGATTACATGAATGTTGATATTTCTCAAAATTCATTAATGGTAATATACATTTAACTATATATATATATATATATATATTAGTAAATCTAATTGTAGCAGCATATTCTCATTTTAAGTATAAATTCGGAAACGTAAAAACTACGAGAGTTTTATTAAATTATTGAAATTATTCAAAATTCAATTTACAAGATATAATTGGATTTGTGATTACAAAAGTATCTGTATATTGCGCCTATGGATAAGTAACGGATTTTGGAAATCGGCGTACATCTTTCGCGCGAAGCATCTATAAATTATCCGGAACGAAGTATCTGGGACTCATGCACGTTCATACCTGATTAAACAGATATGAACGTGCATATTGTTTCTCTATTCCTTTTCTGTTTATTTAAATTGTGATCTTGTTTTTCTTTTACGCGTATAAACACGTCAATTCGGTATTTCCAATTCAAGCATAATCATAGGAAATTGAAAAACATCGAAACGTTGGCGAAATCGCTGGTGTTGTCGCGATAGCTACGAAACATCTGCGCGTATCCGAGGTCGCGTTCAGACATATATATATATATATAATATAATTTTTTTGGATGGAAATTGATTTTTCTGTCACGCCCGAGATACGAATAATAACTTCATATATTCGCGAACGAAGATGCAAGCCGATCTTGCATGCTGTGCTCGGCGAAAGTCGGAGGAAACTATAAACCTATGGTAGTCGCATGAATTACACGCGATAGGGAAATTGTATGGACCGACTGTCGTTTTCTACCTGAGAAAAGGTACCGTTTCATTTATCTTATATGACCAAACTTTTTTCAAGCTTATTGATTGGCTGTAAGATAAGAGAACTTAGACTAGAGAACTCGTCTATTCTTTAGCCACACAGTCAGCGCGCGATGAAAAATTTGTCCTTGAAAACGTAGGATTTTCAATGGTCTCGCAATTCGTCTCGCAATCCCGACGAAACTCGGATACGCAATTCCGGCGGGAAGGTGATCCTTAACGTAGCGACGTGAAGGAAAAAAAATTTAACCTATTTAGATAAGGTCGGATCTCTAACGAGTCTCGTCACGTTCGCGATTTTTCTTTTGGTTTTATCGATAAGGAGATGCTAGACGGTCAATCAATTAGCGCATCTTCCACGTGCCACGTGGCGGATTTCTTCTCCTTGGCGTGTCCGCGGCGAGATCGGAAGCTACCGTGTCTCTTCGGGCCCTCGCGATCTTTTTCCGATCGCGGCTAAGAACCGCGCTAAATTTACAAGTCAGCGTCGAGAGATCGCTATCGGATCCTCGCGGCGGAACTTCGGCGTCGTCGGGGACGTTCGCGGCGGCGGCGCGGCACGGCGATTTCCCGGAGTCTGTTCGGGCGCGCGAAATGACATAACTTCGCGCTGTACGACGCGCGAGAAGTTGCATACTTGCGCGTGCGGAAAGTTTAGAGACCCCTTCGGGATACATGTACGGACGGTCACGTGACACCGCATGCCTGCGGGCAGAAGACGGGGCGAGAGGGAGAGAGGGGGAAAGATCTAAGATGAGCAGGGTGTTTTTCCATCGGTTTGCGTGCATGGAAACTAAAGGGGGTAAGAGAAGACCGTCCACGTGCGGCTCGCGACTCTAAATTCGCGCAGCGAAAAGGGCAACTCGGCGGCGGGCGGACGGGCGGCGGCGTTCGGCGTTCGGAAGACAAGAGCGATAGTGGGCCGGTGTGCTATCGAATATCGCCCGCAACAACTCGCGTGCGGTGTGCGAGGAGGTGTAACGGGCCGCTTGGCTAGGCACGCGCTGGCCTCTCTCCACACGCAAAATGACGATCGTCCGCGCGCGCGGCAGCAGCGGCAGATCGGGCAGAGCGGGGACGGCGCAAAGGCGCGCGAGAAGACAGCCCGCCGAAAAACGTCGCGAGCCCTTCGTTCCACCGGCGGCAGCGGCGGCGGCGGTGGTCGTCGCCGCCGCCGCCGCCGCTGCTGCAGCCGGCAGTGGGGACCCTGCCGTCGAAAAATCGATTTCCCGTAGGGCATAAGGGCGCGCGAGCGACCGGGAGGGCGGCGGTGGGGGCGGGAGACACGTACGGAGACGAAATTCGGGAAAACCCGCAAGGGGGTGCGAAAGGGAGAGCGCCCCGGGGGAGCGATGGACCGATACGTCCGAAAAGAGCGGGTGTACGTATGTGTATACATGTGTATATATATATGTATGCGTGCCGTGCGCGCGCGAGAGCGAGGGAAATGAAGATGGAGAGAAAGAGAGAAATTGGTTTCTAGCCCGTTCCCGATGCGGCCGCGTGTGTGGGTGAGCGGCTAGCGTGCCGCGGTCGTCGTAGTAGGGGTGAGAGGAGAAATAATTAATGTGCGACCATTCCTCTCTCCGCGCGCGCCGCGCGTACTCCTCCCGTCCTCACCCCCGCCCGTGCTCCCGCGTTTGCCCTCCCTTCCCCCGCCGCCGTCTCCCCGTCTCGACCGACCTACCTACTCCGCGGGTCTCGTACCGCTACGCTTAGCTGCCATTGTGTCGGGGACGCCACTTCCGAGGCATCAAATTTAATTCTTCAATTGTGGAGAGAAAGAGAGAGAGAAAGAGAGAAAGAGGCGGAGAGAGAGCGAAAGAGAGTGTATGCGTGTGTGCACTCCGCCGAAAAAAAAAGCAACGCGCGACGCGAGTGATACGCCGGCGGTCCGGATACCGACGTGGCCCGTGTTGTTCACCACCACCACCACCACCACCACCGAGGACGACGTCGTCCTCGTCCTCGTCGCGGCGAGCAATCGCGTGCATCCCTCGACCTCGTTTTCTGAAAACTCGCTCCACACCGATTCGCGTCCTAGCGATTCTCTTTAAACTCTCGTGGAAGTTAGGTTAGGACAGTTACTTCCGCAGGTATTGGCCGATCGCGCCCGCCCCGTTCTCCCCCCTGTCTCTCTCTCTCTTTCTCACTCTCCCTTCCCCCGCTCTTTTCTCTTCGTGCCTGCACGCTAGTGGCGTCGTCTCCCGTCACGGATGTTCCTCGGTTTCGCGCGTCGTCGTACGGGATCTCTCGTCTCGTCGCCGTCGTCGTCGGTGCCGTTGGCCGCGTTCGACGTCCGCGCGTGTAGCGTCCGCGGTAACTCTCGCGTCCGTCACGCGGGTGTGTATGTGCGTGTGTGATCGGCCGATCGCCGGAGGATTTTCGGGGGGGATCCGCCGTCGGGCGCGTCGTCGCGTATCCGCGGGGACGGCGGCGGGCGCGTACTCGAGAATGCGCGCAGGAGAGATTCGGTAACCCAGTTGTATGCAAACGCGAGTAACGAGTAACGCGCCTGTGCGTAGGCGTGTGTGTGTGCATGCGTGCGTGTCGCCGCCGCCGCCGCCGCGTATAGCGTAGCGTAAGGCCGGTGTGTGTTTTCCGCGCGCGAGTCTACCGCACGCGGCGGAGACCAACGGCACCGCGCGAGATCAACGTCATCGTGGCTGCGTCTCCTCGCAACGCGCGTTTTCAAAGTGTAACACGATATCTTCTTTTTTTCCGTTTCTCCCCTTCTCCCGCGAATACAATGCCCCCCTCCCCCTCTCTCCCCTCGCCTCGTGTCGATCGACTTCACGCGTGTATTTGTGATTGCAGAGTGACCACGGTCGAAAGAATGGAGGCCATGGATGTGGACGGAGATTCGGTGGTGGATCTGAGCATCAGGTAAAAGTGCCGCGTGTCCGCGGCTCCCGTTACTACACTTGTTCTAATTAATTGTGAAATAAAGGAGGAGTAACAATAGCCTGCGTTTGTTCGTTCCCCGTGGTGATCTTACCTTAAATTGCATAATTTCGAATGTAAAAATAGAGGACGGTATATTATTCAATGGTAATTGATGATAATGCCGCCTTTTATCCAGGCAGGAGCTTCTTATCAGTATTTAGGTTCTTATCACCGTGTGTGATGGACGAAGAAGTAGGTTGTTGTTACTTCTTAGCATGACGCATGAATATACTTAAGAATAGTAGAATATTTTTTTTAGCCTCGCGTTTATGCTGCACGATAACAAATATTTATGCGACAGGTCTCCCCTAATTCTCGTAATACGTGATCTTTCAGCAGCAGTGGTAGGCGTAATTCCCCGTCCCTTTCTGTGAATTCCGGCGACATCCCGTTGGACTTGGGCATTCACTACTCCGCTAGTTCCAACTTGGAGAACAATATGCCAGAGGCACGCAATATACAGAACGCGGCTCGCGGTATTTTGGCTCCTAAACGATCCCACGGGGACGAACGTAAACCACGTCGTAATCTTAGACCTAGGATCGAAAGGAGCTATGCCGAGAGTCCTGACGAGCCTAGAATGAACGGATATCTGAATGGAAATGCATCGGACAGCGACGAAGGTTATTATTAATCTTTTTTCTTATTTTATTACAAAAAAAAGAGTATAATTTATGAATTTTTTACCCCAATAACGAATCGCGTCTCATTATGCTGAATGCTTAAGCAGGCAATGACATGCCGCCGCTGCTGCCAATCAAGGAACTGTCGTCCGACGAGCTGGCTGAACGCGAAAGAATGCTCAGAAAATGTAGAGAGGAGCTCAAATCGGAGGAAATGAAACTAGTGCTCTTGAAGAAGTTGCGTCAGTCACAGCAACTGAAGGAGAACATCGCGGCGGCGCCCAAGGTTCTCAGCAAATTACCACCGCCGATAACGACGCAGCAGGTGCCTCACAGGTAAAACTTGGCAATAATATCGCTCTCCGAGTTGTAACTTGGATATATTGTTGCGTTAAGTCGAAATAAACGTCGCTTTTCTCATCGCAGAGCCGGGAAAGCGCCCCCGCCGTTGCTTAAGGGACAGCCCGCGCCCAGCAGAAGTAGTAGTTTACACGCTCCCCCGGTTGGTATGGTACTAACTCCTACCGCTGGTAGAACTGCTCTTCCAAGCGCCGGCGGAATGCCCCCGAACATGGTGATACCTCAGCCACCTCATCCGAGAGGAAGACCAGCCAGCGTAGCGGCGGCGACCGTCTCGAGCTATCACGCGCCAACGGACAGAACGGAGAGGTCTACGAAGGATCCGACACCGACTCCCGCGCATCAAGTAAGTAAGGTATAACATCACACTTTTCTTCATCATTTCCGTTTAATAACCTTTACGTAGTTGTAACTGTAGTTTTACGTGAACGTTAAGAACAAGTCAATAAGGCCCTTGGAAAGCTCCTTTACTGAATAATTTTAAGAACTAACACTTTCACTGCTATAATCATTACTCGGGCGATCGCTACAATACGATGCATTACGAGCGATCGTTGTCGCGAACTGGCCCCGGCCGTGAAAGTGTTAAATAATTCTTTAATTATGAACAACGTATGTAATCGATTTATTGTGTTTTTCTAAACACAAAGCTGCTTGCTGGATCGCAAGAAAATAAAACCACCGCATCCTTAAGCACACCTGTGAATTCGGAACAGGTATATTTATACGTCGATCAATGTATAATGTTCTCTGTCTGTATTCTCTAAAGGCTGTTAATCTGTTTTGTTTTCCTTACATTGATTATGATATTTTAATTAAGCTTTTCTGTTTTTTATTTCTGCTTTTTTAACGATTCTTTATTTTGTTTTATGAATCACATACAGGAAAGTACTTGAGTCTTCATTAACGCATAAGTTGTAAAACGTGCAGCATTGTGCTAAACTTTTACTAACATATCTATTTTTTAATTGCACATTATATTATTCATATATATATAAAAAAAAGAAGAGAGAAATATTGCATAAAGAATACATTCTAATTTGCATGCAGCTATTAAATTTATACTTTGATATGTATCTATATATCATACAACACATATTCCCACGTACATGAAAATGAATTATCTAATTCCTTTAACCTTTATTTTATGTGTTTACTTTTCCCATTTATTTAAGCTGTTTGTCTTTTGTGTTACTGAGAGATTAACTGTATAAAGTAAAGGTTATGACGACAAACGATGTTTATTCTATATTTTCGATAATGTAGGAGAGAACAACGCGAGAGGAGACGCCTGCTCAACGTCAGGCAGCCGCCAAGATGGCCCTAAGAAAGCAGCTCGAGAAGACATTGTTACAAATACCACCGCCGAAACCGCCGCCTCCCGAGATGCACTTTGTGCCGAATCCCTCCAACACGGAATTCATATATCTGGTCGGTTTGGAACATGTGGTCGATTTTATAACGAAGGAACCGGCAGTACCGCCACCTCCGGAACCATTCGAGTGCTCACAATGTAAAACAGATTTCACGCCCGTGTGGAAATGGGAAAAACCTTTGCCTGGCGGTAAGAAGGATAGTCCTAGAGGCCAACATGCAACTTTCCAACGACCACCAGCGGGTCGCGATCCGAGGGTCATATGTGAGCATTGTGTAACGACTAATGTGAAGAAAGCGTTAAAAGCAGAGCACACTAACCGGTACGTTTTTATGTTCATATTAAAATATTAAAAATTTTCTTATTTTCTTTAAATCCTAATAATAAATTGTTATTACTAAATCTAAACTAATTTATTACTAAATCAATTTGTGTAAGACAGATATGTTCTTTATTATAATTTAGATAAAACGAATAATTTAGTATATTTTTGCATATGAAATGTAAAAGCTTAAATAACGTTATCCTCGCGTCTAATGGATTTTATATGGTGTTACAGATTAAAAACTGCTTTCGTAAAAGCGCTGCAGCAAGAACAAGAGATTGAGCAAAGGCTAGCGCAGACAGCATGTCCGAGTCCTGATCCTCCCGCTCCGAAACCAGTTCCTAAGGCAGCCACTCCTACACGTAGAGTGGCTACACCGCCTGCGCCTCCGCCGCAGGTACCACCGGCACCTACGTTGACGCCGACACCACCCGCGCCGAAGATGCAGGAGCATCCCCTGATGAAACTGGACGGGGGGAAGTTCAGTCCGCACGCAGCTGCTGCGGCAGCCTTGCAGCAACAATTGCTCAGAGGTGAGTGAAAAGATCCTTGAACACATCTTGACTGAAAACTAATCTTTTTTCATTCTTTGTCATACTCTACTCCCTTCTTTAGCTAATAATACTAAAAGTAGATAAATATTCTATTCAGGTTATAAAATAATGAATATTCTATTCATTCTCGATTATTATTGTTACAGAATTGGCGAAGAATCCAGTACCGGGTCTACCACCGCATCAACCTCTTCCTGCTCACATGATGCCGCATTTTACCTCGATACTGTATCCTTACCAATTAGCAATGGCTGCCAGTGGCAAAGGCCTCGTAGAGTTACAACGACAAGCGGCGGATCTTCAACGTCAATATCTGCTCGACATGATTCCGTCGCAGGCGTCCCAGGCGCAAGGCAATCAAGCACCGCCAAGAGCCCATCCACATAACTGGAAGACGTAACCGGACGCATTTAAAGGATGATGTAGTAGCAGCAAATGCGAATAAACAGTGAACGTGTAGCGGAAGAAATGGAAAGAAAAACTAAAAAAGGGGCAGTTATAAAGTGTGCAGTCATAATTTGGTGCACCTTACGCTGTCAACACTAGTGACTCAATTAAGGTGAAGCTCAACTTGAAATACATCGGAAGATTGACACCGATTAATATTGTATAAAGAATAATCGTTGTGAATATGTCAATTGACGTTTATGACTTTATTGTTATCTAAGGGGTAAAGGTTTTATTTCCGTCACTGAAAACACGCACTCTACGTACGTATGAGTTGGGACATAGAATTTTGTGTCACGTCTAAATAATTCGTTGTTTAGTGGAGACCAATCGAACTCTCTCCCGGAATTGGAAATGTGTCGTTCATTTCCTTTTTTCCCGATCTTTCCTCGTACATGTATGCGTTATTATTTCGTTAACGTGTCGTTAACATTGTCCACTGAACAACTGATATATAAACATAATAATTAATTTAAGTGTATCGACAAGCATATAGTAACATTGAATGCAATTGCTTGAATTATGAACACCGAGTTGCCTAACTAGGCGCGAGTGGAGCGATCACCTCGCTTTTTCTATAACTATTTTTGTTCTTTATCTGTATGATATCCTATGTCCTCTTTTTATTATTATATAATGTCATTATTAGCAAAGTTGTATTATCTATTTGTCCAAGATTTTGTTGTTTTCTTCTTCGTCTTTTTTTCTTGGTCTGTCGTTTATTCGCAAGGATTATCTGACGTGGTGAAAAGCAAAGTAAAAATGCTCGCTCGCTCGCATGATAATATCATAAGTTAGACAACTCTGTTATACAACATAATATAAAGAACCAAATAGACATTTACAAGGCACTAAATAAATCAATAATAAGTGTAAAATGACTGCAAATCGGATTATTAACAATAATAGGGATAATCACGAGAGGGAAGGCACGAGTGTAAGACGAGGTAAACGAAAGTTGATGGAAAGGATCTTTTTCGGCCCTTAGATAGTTAAGACGATTTTTGCCGCTGTTTCCAACGAGTTTTTGCGATCATCGGCAGTACCTGTAATATGTGTATATTTCATTATTTTCTCCGAACTGTATTTTTAAGACGAGTTTAACGCAAGATAGAGCTGTAGCTACATACGAGGAAAAAGAAAAAAAAAACCTTTGTAAGAAAACGCGTGCGTGAGTGAAGATAAGCCAGCACATGTATAGCAATCTTTTTCTCTCTCGACATACGGAGGTACGCATCGGCGAGTTTCTAATGGAAAGGGGCACGAATGTTGTTCGCACAAAATATGATTTTCTTGTGCGACACTTAAGTCGTACGTTAAGATATACGGGCTCGCGCGAAGTATGCACTTGGGCGATGTGTGTGACACACGACTTAAAACTTGGACAGTTCTTGTACGTTAAAAAAACGAGACTCACACAAACGAATCTGTAATGGTAATCGGGACTCGAGTTAACGCAGCGCGATTGATTTTCATGTCACATTCGATGTAAAAGTATTTAAAGAAACTTACTAGAGGAGATACGTAATCGAGATTTTTGCGAATTGTTACAACACGGCGACCGCCGGATTTTTACGACGTCCTCTACGAGTCTGCACTTGAACGAGTTAAAAAAAAAAAGTATCCGGCACTTGTCCCCAGTAATACCAGCCCTTCCTACCCTCCCCGGTCCTACCTTCCCCCTTCCTCCTCCACTAATAGTCTGATTTAATTAATTCTGGGCTAACCGATCTTGGTCTCATACATTTCCGAATCAATTAAATATATAGTACTATAGTCTTGATATTTCTCGGTATATGATACAACTTAATAAACTAAAATAGCGCATAATCATCTCTCTTTGTACTACGTGATAGATTTTGAACTCGTACTTGATATACATGTACACCATAATAAGTCTACGATCGCATAATAGATCAAGATCTGTGTTTTTTGTGTAAGAAAAAACGTAATAATATGTCGTCAACTAATTATCATCGGGGCACTACCGTCGTCGTCGTCGTCGTTGTCGTCGTTATCCTAAGATGAGATCCGGGAGCGAAACAGAATGACAACGTGAAGGAGGAGAGATTCTTAAAAGCTTGAACGTACTTCCCCGAGAAAATCGAGCAATATTTTGTATAATTTTGATAATTAAAGACTATTTCCAAGTTGTTTATGTTGAACAATTGTTCTTTAAATGAGCAGCAGTTAAAATTAGAAATTATAATCTTTCACTGCTTATTAATTAATTTGTTCAATTGATTAAATTATTGATTCACATAATTTAAGAATATGGGAAGGAATTTGGATGCGATTTTCGTGGAACTTAAAACTACTTGGAAATAAGCTTATCCAATTCCACAATCGCTTACGATATGTTATAATCTCAAACGAAGGAATCAATGTAAGAATTTACATTTCAATTTATTTTCCGATCTAAACAAATGATAAAAGATATCTTATTTCTCTTTATAAGATTAATATAATTGGCGCGAAGATGTGCCTGATGTATGACTCTCGGAATTTACGCCAATTCGATGAGAAGCAAATTGTCGTCACCATTATTATTATAATCATCATTATCATCTGCAAACAGACTAACCGCATATGGTAATCATATCGCGTTTCGTTTCTCACAAACAAAAAGAATACGTTTCTTTCTATTTTTCTTTTCTAGTCTTGTCTCTCTTTATTCTCTGTGTGGTGCTGTTAGCAGTTAAACACTTTCAAAGTGCGAGAGAATTTTATATCCTAAAAAAAAAAAGGGAACTCTCTTTTCGCTACACGACAGAAACGAGGGATGGCGAATATTTAGCAGAACTAGAATTCTAAGGCATTTGCAAAATACAAGAAAAAGAAAGAAAGAAAATACGGATTGACTCCGCTCGTTTCACGGGGACACAAACATTTCACGACTATGAATATTGAGCCGTTTAAGACTGCGTGACGTGCGCACATTTTTTATTTTGTCAAGAAAACAAAATTGCGAAATTCGTACACCGATTTTGGAACATCTGTCCGAATGAAAAGCGTTGTCCCCACGATTTATAGAATTAGTGGATAAATAAAGATTACCGAATACTCTGGAAAACTATACGAATAAAGCTTACCAATGATTGTATTAAAAGGTGATATTTATTTATCTTTTGTAATATTTTCGTTTCTGTTTTTTTTTTTTTTTTGGATTAACGCATCTGCGAGATTTCCGATAGTATTGGTAATCATATATGTTTATATCGACGAATCCAAGATTATGTGTGTTCTGTTATATAATAATTTCTTAATTATTCGATGTCTTGCCAAGGATAAAAAAAATAAAATGCTGGTGGTATATGAATCTATGTATTCGCAAATTTATAATCGCATGACTATTAATTTATACAAAATCTCAATCTGTAAAACCAACTGAAAAAACCCAAAGATTTTCAATTTTGTAGAAATCAGATTTCTTTGAAAGGAGATTTATAAAATATGTAATCACATAATAGTCGAGATTCAGGCTAAGAGAATTAAATAATAAGTTATAGGGTAATAAGTATAAATTCGCAGAAGCGTTCTCCTTAATATACATCCAACTATACTTTTACAAATTTTAATTACAATTTTAGTTCCTGTCTATAAATTCGAGGAATCGAAACAATTTCTGTCTCTAAGTAACAATATTTTGCAACAGTATTTTGTAATACCATTGTACAAATAATATAAATGTCTGATTGTAGATTCGTCATTTTAACGATAATCGAGATTCAGGTACAATCGGTTGCAGGACGAAAAATCTTTGTTCGGACAAAGTTGGGGCCCAGAAGTAATCAGGTTGGACCAGTTTAACGGCTTCGAGGGTGAACGCTATATTTAGAGGCATGGCGGTAAAAACTTCGGGTTGTGCAACTTGCGATACGATTAAGTTAAATGTCTCGCGTCTCCCCGATCTCGTTAGTGGCGTTCGGTCAGAGCGTCTACGATGCAAAACAATTTGATCGCGAAGAGAGGACAAGTCGAATGCGCTTCCGTTCACAGGATCGTCGATGATCGTCATGGTAAGCCAACTATCACAGTTGAGACATCGTCGAGCCGGGAGAGATCTCGGCGCCTAATTCAGTTTCTTCTCGTTATACTGCGTCAGGCATTTCTTGAAGTGCTTGGCGCAGAAGGGATACAACGTCGGGTGATCGCATGTCCTGCAAGCCGCCGCGAGATGAGAGCAGCATCTCAGGCTTTCACGGCAACAGGAGGCCCACAAGTCGGGTCCGGCGGCGGCGCAATCGTAACAGAAACAGTCCCCTGCAATTCACATTGACATATCATATTGACACGTAATTTAAATGTCAATGATTTACCAATATAACGATTTCCCTTTAAAATTTCCCATAAACACTTCCTCGATTTCACTTGCGTCGACATCTTTTATTTCCGACCATTCAAACGCCGCGATAAGCAGCTTCCGCGTTTCAGCGAGGATGATTAAACAAACGGCTATACCGGATTATGTTTCACCGTTGCCAGCGCGATAAAATCTGGTTGTAAGGAAATGCGTTCCGGATCACCATTTTCTAAACGTTAATAAAATAAAATAAAGTTTAATTAGAGATTAATATTTTTTAGTACTTTTTGGAGAGCGTTTCATCGACAATATTTTAGAAATGTTACATATATGTATAAGGAATTTTGCATTAATAGATACTTTATAATTGATGATACTCGAAGCATAGATAATGAAGCAGATTAATTTATTCGTATTAATAGATATTTATAATTGATGATACTCGAAGCATAGATAATGAAGCAGATTAATTTGCTCAAAATAGATTATTTTTATTACTTTAGAAGCAGTTCGTGTTGTATGTATGTTCATTTTCTCATAATTTTTAGGACGACGTTTAAATTTAAAACCTGTTTCGCATTCAGTTGTGCAATTAAAAAAATGTACGAATGATTTGCCTTCCGATGCTCTCACTGTATTACTTTCTCTTATCCGTTTGTATATTTCGTCTTACATATGTCCGTATAACGCAATTGCAGTAAACCCGTGACGTAAAGACGAAGGCGTATATAAACCGCACGGATTTTATTGCGATGAATGTAGGATAATTAGATGAAAAAAATTATACGGGTTTTAAAAATTTTCCGACCGAGATAGCGCACGTACGCTTGTTTCTTTACTCGAAAACTGGTTGTATACGACAATCAGGACACACATTCGCGGCAGTGACATTTACGAGATATACATATATATTATGCTGTTTCTCAATCGCGCAATTATTATGATTTGAGAACAAACTTTTAATTTGTCGACTGAAATTATCCGGAAATACGCGTTTGATGGCAAAAAGCTCACGTTATTCAATGTCAGGTTGATTTCGGTTACATTCAGTGTAACTTGTACATAAAATTAACCTACATTGAAAGAGCGGTTTTACTGAGGTATCTGAAAAATTTAGCTATATAGATACGGATCTAAAAATAATTTTTTGGACCATCTAAATAATTATTTTAGACGCTCGAGCAGGTTGCTTATAGGATGTCGAAACTTTTTCGCAACATGATCATGCTTGAACGATCTCAATCTTAATTATTTTAATAGACTAACATATAATTATTCTCATATCTATAAGCTAATTTTTAGATATTTTTAGCAAAATCGTTCTCTTTCCATCTAACTAAAGTAATATTTTATAAAAATTATTACTAGACTATTAAAATCCTGCCCGATGACTGAAATGTAGCAGTAATCTCTTTGATGTATTTTGAAATATTTTTGGTCGCGCAAAAGTGTTTTCGCTCTTGCAATATCTGATCCTTGAGAATCACTCTGCCATACTTTGCGTGCACTCTGATGTATGTACATACATGTATATTACTCGAAAGCGCCTTGCACGTAACATGTGTCACCTAGTTAAAGCAATTAGACTTTCTCAAGCACTGATGACAAAATGCGAAAAGTATTCCGCGAGGATCCGCGCGATGCGTTTGAACATTCGTCCGCGCTCTAACATTTCAAACAACGCCTCGATTATCGCTTTCCGACGTTACGTGAAATCTCGTGAGCACGTAATAATACGACTGCCGTGAGCTGAATTTTCCTCGATTCGAATTCATTACATAGAGAAAGGTGCGATGCGCGCGATGCAGACCTAAAAACGCGGCTGCGGCGCTCTCCTTTCTGTGATGTCACGCGACCGTATTATTATCTCGGAGACGGCTAAATAAATTCATAATCCGGAGATAAATTCAAATCCCGAATCGAGGGATAAATTTTAATTCCATCCGCTTCACTCGAGTCTACTTAATTTGTTGCGAAATCAGATAACGCTCTAATGTTTAATGAATATCCCCAGTTATTTTTCAGAGCAGTCGCACCGGGATGCGAGGCGAGGCGTTAACGCCGCGCCGCGCGCGGCATTAAACACTGCGTCGGCGAACATAGTCAGTCATCTGGGAGCGGCTATTGTCAAGGTCAGAATCTCTATTGTCAAAGAGCGAATAGCGATGTTTTTTTCTTTTTTCCGTAATAGCGAGGAAGCTCGCTGCAACGGTATGTGGATCGCATTGCGGTCAGACGTACACAGCCGAGCCCGGCGACGACGACGCCGCGACGCGGCTACGCGGATTTTACCTCGAGGACAGTCAACCGATCGTCGAGCCTCCGCCCTTCGGCACTCCAGGCCCTCCTCGCCCATGGGACAGCTCGTGAACGACGCCTCGATAGTGTTCTCGCCAAGTATCGCGTCGATCTGAAATTTAATTTCGTCATCATATCGCTACCTGATGAGCGTATGGAATTCCGTCGCGAACACTCGCCGCCGTTGCGAAACTCATTTCGACGGCAAATGTTAGTCATTGCGTCAATTAACTCGCGACGTCCGTCGGATTTTTTTTTTTTTTAGAAATTCTTTATCGCGTTGCGCTCCCACAGCCGCTGATGGAAAGTTCTCCCTCGAGTGCAGCCTCGAGAAAGTTTGTTTTTAATCGTTCGCTTTAGTGGCTCGAAAACCACTGTTCCGGCATTGTCTCGCGAAAGATCTATAATTAATTAACGATTAAAACTTAAAAACTGAGATTAGAAAATGATTTAAGATCGGCAGAAAAATTTGAATTTGCGCTTAGAGAAAGACACCCTGTGCGCCGTGCACGTATATAAGGAGGGCTTAACCCATTGCGAGGCACATTTGTTATTACGGGCGACGTAATAGAACGCACCGGTGATTATTTCTCCTCGTATGCCGCGCGCGTTTATTCCTCATGCGACGACGTTGCATCACGAGCGAGAGACACGATTTGTTTGGAATTATAAATTTGACTCGCGGGAGAGGGACCGCGGCAAAAACTGGACGGCCGTTTCATCAAGGTATCGAGATTTTCATTTTCGGATCTCACGTGACACAGATGCACTCGTGATTCTACCTTAAATTTTGTAAAATTCCGACAGAGTCAAACTGCCAAAAGTGGCACTTCGGTCGTCTCGACCTGTTTTGGCTCACAATGATTTTGGTACCAGATTTTTAACGCAAAATTTTGTTGGAAACGAGAGTTTGCGCAGCACGACCTCGAAAAATGAGAAAAATGACAATAATAATATTAATAATTATTAATTATATTTTTAAATAACTAATGCGAAATAACTAAATCGAGTTCGACGTCCGCGCCGGCTTACCCGCTTGAACGCGCCCGGTTTGGAGAACATCTTCACCAGTTTCGCCAACGCGTTTTCCGCCTGGACATGCTCCGCGACGTTGGTGACGTTCGTGGCGCAGTGGGTTTCGCGCGGCGGAAGAACCGCCAACAAGCCGAAGAGGAACGCGAGCACGCACCGGCCGGAGAACATTGTGCGTAAAATAAAAAAAAAATTGAAAAAGAGATAAAGATCGCCGAGCTCTCGCGCGTTCGATCCCGCGCGATTCGAAACAGGCGACTGCGATGATCAGCTGGCGGCCGGGAACTCTTGCGCTTGCTGAGTACCTGGTGGGGATATCCCACATCGACGTGGAAAAGCATCGCCTCGTAACGCGGAATTTATTCGGTCTATGAAAACAAGAACGCCTTATGTCCGACCGCGTAATGTAGGCGGACTGCAAATACAATTTAATCCCGTATTTTCTTAATTATTATGCAGTTATTCCCAGATAGCACAGAGAGTTTATAAAGAATTCAGTCGTATTTCATCAATTCTGAATATTAATTTTCAAAAATTATTGTAAAAAGAATTATTTTTCTACAAGTTCTGAAAAAGATTTCTTTTTGCACCTAAAAATGAAACTCAGAATTGATGATATACGATTGAATCATCTTTTTGAACTTTCTATGCTATCTTGTACAATTTCCTGCACAACGTTTGTCGATGATTACATGAAGCTTTCGACATGATAAAAAATATATAAAATGATTTTTATAAATCAAGAGGCTGAACGACTGAGCTACGTACGACTGAGTTAATTGAACTAATACTGCTGTACGCACTCCAAGTAATTAGCACGCGTATTAATCCACTTGTTTTATACATATTTCTTAAACATATCTAATGTTTTATAACATTAAAGTTTAAAATATACATATTAACATTAACGAGTATTACTTTGGGATAGCTCGATTAAAAAAAATTTTTTTAAATAATAAAAATAAGAATGCAGATCAAGAAGGAAAAAAATTGAAGATGTTTCTGTTCGATAGTGATAAGATATATCAAGATGTAAAAGAGAGTCTCTCTCTACACACACACATACACATACACACACTATATATATATATATATAATATATATAGGTATATAATTGCATTTTATCTCAAAAAATCTTTTAGAGGAAAAAATAAAGCTATATAATTAACACGCAGTTGCGTTTCGTTTCAATAATAGATTAGCGGAAAGCCATTGTAGTGGCGCTTAGTAATTAATCAAAAAGATAAATGTTTTAAAAATTTTAATATTACAAACCATTTAATATAATATATATGAATCTCGCAGATGTGTAATAAGACTAGATAATTTAACATCCGAAACGTCGAGCCGATATTTGGAAAGACCATTTAAATTTTTTTAGATAATTTAGAAGATTCTAGCCTAATTTATTGACTAAAATCATACAAGTTCATGCGAGTTCGGTTAGACGCACTATACATACTTCCTCTTTCATGTATGACGAATGTGTATGACATGTATATGTATATGTATATGTAATCTCCTCCATCTGTTTACGGTGAGCAGCGTCCTCATTCTGCTGCTAGGCGCATCACTTCAGTCACTGGGGAGAGAACTGTAGAGGCGGTAGAGTTCGTCTGGCATCGTTTGTGTGGTGAAATGTTAAAATGGCGTCTTCTCAGGACGCTTGGTATCTCTCGTTGCTCGGCCTGGCCGAGAATTTCCGCACGTCGAACCCGCCCAACATCAAGTCGTGCATCCAGTGTCTGCAGGCGGTCTTCTATTTCAAGCCGCCGCAGCGCGTCGAGGCGCGCACTCATCTACAGCTCGGCAACATCCTGCTCACGCACACGAAAAACATCGATTTGGCGCGACAACACCTAGATCAAGCGGTCAGTCTTCCGTTCACGTTCCGCATCTACCGCGTCGATTACGAGCGACACCGCCGCCTCTTTCTTACTCCTCGCTCCGTTTCCACATCCCCGCGATTCGCGCGATTCTGCACGCCCGCCTGTCCTAACCTCTCCGCGCGCGATGACAACAAATATGACGTCAAGCTTGTGTCAAACTGCGCGCGATTCGGGACGATTCGCGTCCTTTGATCTTGGTCGAAAACACCGCTCCGCCGACGAATTGGCTCGAGCGGTGAGCGAACGCTAACCCGTACGTCCGTTCGTTCTATTCGCAAATCACTACGAACAGCTAATTTCGAATTTCGAACTGCTTCTTGAATCGCGCATAATCTGGCGCAAGCTTCAAACGTCACGTCAATTCACGGAGCTGCGTTAAGCGTCGTACAACTGGACGATTTAAGAAAATTGATCAGTCGTATTTCCATTTCCACCAATGAAGATTAACGTTAATCTCGGTTTAACCTACTCTTCATCCATTTTCAATTCTCAGAACTGGAAAAAGATGAAGAGAAAGTTGAACCGAGATTCACTGCATAGAGATATGTAAGATTATTGCTTTACATTTTTCTATGTGCCACGTGCTTAATCGATTGTTATTGATCAATTTTCTTAAATCTTGATTGTAGACGCTTGAATATTCGATCGGAGCTTTCATCGTCTTCGACGATATTTGTAATGACTCTTGGTTTTATTCCCTTTAGTGGCGGCTGAGTCAGAATATAAATACATTCGACGACGTGAAGTTCGAAGCAGCTAGCATCGTCGCGGATCTGTACGAGCAACAGTTGCAGCCGAACTTGAGCAAACCGATTTTGAGGAAGGCGATAGAACTGTCTCAGCACAATGTCTACTGGCATTGCAGGCTTATCTTTCAACTTGCGGTAAGGCTTAACAAGCTGAATTCTTTGCATCACGGAGAAATAACTACGTAACAACAGGTACTCGACTGACGACTTTTGGATTGCAGCAAATTCATGCTTCGGAGAAGGACTTTGTCGCAGCGAGTAGCTTACTTGCAGTTGGCGTTGATTACTCCCACATAAGTAACGCCGGTTATACCAGAGTTCTCTTTCTTCTAAGCCGATGTATGCTGCTGTTGATAGATAAGAAGTTCACCGAGGTGCATCCTCTTTTAAATTCAGCGAACCATCACATAGAGAATTGGCAGGGTAACTCGTATCAGAAGGAGTATCTGAAGGTGTACTTTCTAGTTCTTCAAGTGTGTCACTATCTTATGGCAGGCCAGGTGAGGAATAGTTATAGGTGTTGCAATTTACAAAAAAAAAATTGTATAGGCCATTCTGTTCTAATATTATCTTTCCGTATTATTGAAACAGGTGAAAAGCGTGAAACCATGTTTGAAATCATTGCAACAAAGTATACAGACGATAATGTCACCTAGCTGGCCGACAGACGACGTGGTGGTCACGGGCTCCAATATCGGAGATATGTTTATATGGATGCCGAAGGATCATCTATACGTCTTGGTCTATTTAGTAACCGTTATGCATTCTATGCAAGCCGGATACATGGATAAAGCGCAGAAATATACCGATAAAGCGCTTAGTCAAATTGAAAAACTGAAAAGTAAGTATATGCACGACGTTTTAATTAATTTAAGTAAGTTTAATGTTCTCGAAATGGTTTACACCAATTCATCTTGTATTCCCTCACACAAATCTTTAATTTTCCAATGAATCTCTTGAAAATGGAGGCATATGCGGGATGAAAGAGAATCGGGATCCGCCGAACTATGAGTTGGCCGCTCTCTCATGGAGCCACGTGTCATCCCGCATTACTTCTTATTTTCTTACATTGATTTAATATCCAACGACATTGAATTCTTTATTGTTACTGTTTACAGTTATCGATAATAAACCTATCCTGTCCGTGTTTCAATTAATGCTCTTGGAGCACATAATCATGTGCCGGCTTGTAATGGGAAACAAAAGCGTGGCCCTTACGGAAATTTCTCAAGCCTGCCAGCTCTGCAGGCGGCAGCCTAGGTTACTTCAAGGCCATAGACCACAATTACATGTATTACTAGGTTTATATGCAATGTCTATGAATTGTATGGAAGCTGCGGAGGCACAGTTCACCGCTGCACTCAGAGTAAGAAAATGAAATTGTTTTATCATATATTATAATTTAAGATCTTTTTATGTTTCTGATCTATATTGTATATGCTTTTTTATAAGTGTTTTAAACATTTTTTGTATTTTTATTCTGACTAAATTTCGCACGCAAATGTAATGTTAATTCTTGTTATAACGAGAGGGCAGAGATTAAAAAATATTATTTAATTTTTTTTCAGACGTCACAAGAGAGGGAACTCTGGACATTCGCGAATTTGAACCTAGCGATAGTATATCTCAGATCGAAAAAGGAAACCGAGCTGGGGGTATTATTAGAAAGGATAAATCCAGAATCTCTACCGTCGCAGTCTCATTCACTAAGGGCAGCTGCATATTACGTACAAGGACTCCAAGCTTTCTTCGGTGCTAGATACAATGAAGCAAAGTATGTAACATTTTTTCAAATATTTATTCTCATATCCTAATAAATGCATGAAACTTGTAAGTTTAATTTCTCGAAACAGTAAAAAGATGAAAGATAGAACAGTCTGATTCTCAGTTAATAATATTAAAAAAAAGCTTAACAACGTGCGATATAATTCGAATGCATCGATGTAAATGTGCAAATATGATTTTTTAGGCGATATCTTAGGGAAACCTTAAAAATGGCTAATTCAGAAGACTTGAATAGACTCACTTCCTGTAGTCTTGTGCTTTTGGGACATATATTCCTTTCGTTGGGAAATAGTAGAGAGTCAATGAATATGGTCACACCTGCGATGCAATTAGCTTCTAAAATACCTGATGTACATGTACAACTGTGGGCTACTGCCATTTTAAAAGGTATGTATACATTGAAAGTAGTAATTTTTCGATTTAACTGTGCACTATATAATTGAAATATTGCAGATTTGTACAGAATTTGTGGCGACCCTACTCACGAGGCCGAGGCGTATCAAATGCACTGCACATTCTCTCAAACCCTCTTGAAGGACCATTTTCAGAGTACTCAAATAAGCGAGCACTCGCTCATTCATTGGATAGACGGTCCGGTGCCTGCGTTGTCAACCAATCCACCACCATCTACGTCGCAAGCAATTCTCTAATGGCATAAAAGATATTTAGGTGTGTCCTTACTTAAATTGTACAGAACTGTCTGAAAACCATGTATATTTGTACTAATTATTCGCATTGAGTTGTAAAATGAAGTTGGGTTCAGCCTCATCCAGTCTCAGATATTAAAAGGACTATGATGTTTCAGAAAATCGGATTTAATTGCGAAACAACGCGGAAAAATAGGATTAATGGATATTTGATATATCCAAACTTTTTTAATACGTGAGATCTGCAGAGAATATGGCAACTAGTTGTAACAGAGCTTGATAAGCAGTTTGTAATATTGTTTGAAGCATCGAAATTTTTCACGGCAGGGACTGACTATATATTTAGACCATTGATATTTTGTTTATTTGTTTATCTGTGGATCATTTTTTGTATGGAAGTACACAAGAGAATGAGGGACAGATGCTTAAATCATCGTAATGCAGAACAGAGACGCGTTTTTTAGAATTGTATAAATCGTTCTGCCGCACAATGCGTTTAGACAAGAAGATTTGTATTGCACATATAGAAAATAGATCGGAATACAGAATAAAGGTTTTAATTTTTGTTTGTAAATCTTGTCGGCTGTACTTTTCTGATTAAATGTGACTTCGGAAATCTTTTTATAACTCCACTATCTTCATCACACGGAATAAAAAAATATTAATAAATTTTTTAACCAAACAATTACATATATTAGAACATTTTAAATTTGCAATTTCAATATTATGATACAGATAAAATTTTGTTTAGAAAAAACAGAATTGATCTTCGAAATGTTAAAGCGTAAAGAAGATGGGGAACAAGTATCAAAATAGATATTAAATTTTTGTATATACTTTTTGGATTACAATAAAAACCAATCGAAGTAATTAACTTTCAGCAACGTTTAACAAATTGTCCATACGTCCAGTGGATTATCGAAATGATTTTTAGTTCTTTTTTTAATGGTTTTTTTTTTAATGACCAAAGTAAACATTAATAATTTGGCTGTGGCACAACAGAATAATAACGATTCATTAAGCGGTATAACGAAATAAAAGAATGATAGGTACGAAACTTTGCAAGTCGGTTAAAAAGAGGCAAATTCTTTACCTATTACATGTACAAGATGTTTCGGTATATATACATGTATTTTTATTAAAATGATATATGTATGTATTGTATGAGTATATAATAAAACTGTAATTGTTATATATTAGTATTATAGTTACAGTAATAAATAAAAAAAGGGGCCTTAGAACATGGTAACTTAAACAGCAAAGAACTTGTGTGTAAAATTCTTTACTTTGTTTAAATTATTCTAAATATATTTTTTCCACATTTTCTGTATATTAAAAGAAATAAAAAGTACATGCAAATAGTAGAATAGAGAATGTAATAAAACAAGTTTGTACAAATATTTCCTTAACATAATACAATACAGTACAAGCTTCATTTATTGTAGCACGTTTTATGTGTGTATATATATGTATAAAGCAGTATTTAAAAAATATAGATTTTACTGCATAGACTATTAATATAACATAATTTTATGATTATTCTAATATTGCTATCTTCCGGAAAAAATAAATTTAAAATATAAATTGGTAATAAAGAGAAAAAGAAATAGAGAAGACAATTTTTTGACAAGATAAAATTAATAAAGTTTTTCACAACACATTGCATCCAAATTTAATTATGTATAAAAAGTTTTTTTGCGCCCCTTTTTTTGTATTATAGTATGTTAAAAAGAAATCGAAATTTTTTTTCATTCTCACACAATTAATTGTGTGACAAAGTGTATATATATATTTGATTATATATTTAATAAAAATAAAGATGAAAATATTAAACAATCTTCTATGTATCTTATGTAGAACATTTTTGAACATATTTTCAATTTTACAGTTACTTATATAGATATATATTTTAGTAAACTACGTTTTCATCACAGCTAATATATAATGATGCAGAATATGTTAGTTTTATATATTTCTTTTTTTAAATATGCGTACGAAGTGAACAAAACAGATTTATGGTAATAAAAAAAATTTTATTTTTGAAATGTGATTTATTTCGTCAATCACATTTTCGAATAACGTTCAACTCCTCTAATTACTTAATTATATATCAATTATTTTACAATTTTATGATAATTTATACATTTATTACTATAGACGTCAGGTACATTACTTTCTGTACCAAACTTGTGTGGTTTGCATACGTTTAATCTTTTTCTGCAACTGAAGAACACCGTACAATAATGCTTCAGCTGTTGGGGGACAACCTGCAATATTGAAGCATATAATAACGTTGTATACATAAAATAAAAAAATACAAATAATTGCAAATTTACCAGGCACGTAAATGTCCACAGGTATTATCCTGTCGCAACCTCTGACCACAGAATAGCTATAATGATAATATCCGCCTCCGTTCGCGCAGCTTCCCATGGAGATGACCCATCGGGGCTCAGGCATCTGATCGTAGATCTTCCTCAAGGCAGGTGCCATCTTATTCGTTAAAGTGCCGGCGACGATGATGACATCCGACTGTCGGGGCGAGGCGCGGAACACCACGCCGAATCTGTCCATGTCGTATCTAGGCGCGGCGATGTGCATCATCTCCACGGCGCAGCAGGCTAAACCGAAGGTCATCGGCCACAGCGATCCTTTGCGTCCACAGTTGAGTATGTCGTCCATTCGGGCCAGGGCGTACTCTGCCATGTTACTGGGCTGTTGGAACGGGCTGTACGGCTCGACCTTCTGTTTCTCCGGCAGCGGCGCCTTCGCCTCCTGCACGGACGACTCCGTGGCCTGCTTGGCCATGTGTTTAGTCTGAACCTTCAATGTAGCAGCAGCAGCAGCGGGTCCCGACGCCGCTACATTATTACGCGCCAGGGACACCAGTCCCTGAGGGACGTTATCTACAAAAAAGAAGAAAGATATAAACAAGTCATTACGAATGATAATAAATATCAATAGCCAGGTTGCGTTTGAGAGGTTATGACAGCGTTTATTATTTTTAATCGGTCGAACGTTTCGGAATGGGAACTGGTACAGCTGGTGCGAGCAAGTAGACGCACGTCGAGCGTGACGTATGTCAGAATGCAATCTTATGCAATAGCGCGGCATCAAAACGGAAAGTACGCAAGAAGTGCGAAATTTGCTCCGGGACAACATCGATCGTCCGCGGTCCAGATGCACGGCGGCATCTCACCCGACGTGGGATTAAAATACGCGTTATGCCTGAACGGTGCGTCAGGATCGAGCATCGTGACGTTCATTTAACGGCAATCGGCATAATTCACGGTGATATAACTCACGTGTAATAGAACGAAACATTTTCGACCTCACGTCACGGACTTGCTGCTACATCGCAGGTTATGCGGGCGCATGCGCCGGTTTACGATTGAGAGACATGCGATTTAAATACCTACTACGCATTTGTGAAAATTGAGATCATATTGAGATCTCATGGAATTCAATCAGTTAGGATAAAGGGAGAAAAAAATCTTTCTCTCCGTTAATACCGGAATTTTAATTAGTGCGATTTTTTATTTGATGATATTTCCTGCAATTTGTGCTGCATTTCGTGGGCTCGGTTGGACTATTTTATTTTGAACGATACGCATATATATTTAGAAACATTGAATATATGTATATATAATTTTACATAATATATATTTTTACGAAATTAATAATTTCTCCATTTGCGTAATTTTGGTTAACCAACTATATGCAGAGAGAAACCTCAGAGAGGACATAATTACGGTCTTTACCTCAAAATGCTCTATATATGTGTACCCACGGTGCAGAAAAGTAATGTTGCTATGTAGTTTACATCCACTTCTGCAGGGGGTGTTAGTGCACGAGGGCATTTTGAGGTAAACAGGCAAAAGGCCGACTCGCGTGGTATCGCAATGTGATCGGACCAAAGTTGCCGGAATCTTCGAATATTCCGTAGCCATTAATTATAACGAAATGTAATGGACATATACGCATGGACATTCGGCTCTGGGACGAAATGATACATAACGTTCGTTGGTAAGCAAATAAATGTATTAAATCTGCATTTACTTTTTTACAACAATATCTAACTGTCGCAATAATATGTAGGTATAAATATACGACATTCGTACATTGACAATCCATTAGAATGTGTACAAGTCTTAGATTTATTTGACGGAATATCTATCGCGCGAATAGTTTTATATTTTCGAGCAAATAGCTAGTATCACGAATATCTATCTTTAATATTAATACGCCTTATATTCTGACGTGTTACGCAAAATAATAACCGTCACAAAAGGCAGACGTATAATATATCTGTTGCTTGAAATGCGGAAAATGCATGAACATGAAATTAAAAGCAGAATTCATTATAGCAGAACGCATATAGTGTCTCTCCTGGCGCGTGAAGTTGCCAACGCGAGAGACGAAGCGTCATATTGCATTTATACGTTTGCATGACGTGATCATGGACGCGCGGAACGAATCGGCTCTGGAACAAGTATAGCGTCGCGACTCGATCAATTGCGGTAAGCATGACATAAATTTACTCTGCGTTTATTAGTTATTGCAACACATCTATCGCGTAATACATGAATTTGGCACTGATAATCCGCTTGTCAGACGCGTGTATTTTCGCAAAACTTGGTCGACCGAAGATCTATCGCGCGAATTAATCGAGTTACGGCGGCGTCGCTCTTAGCTTCGTCACGCCAAAAAATCGGAAACCTTTTCGCCATCTTAAGACACATTTCGTTGCGCTTCGATATTTTATTTGTAACACATCGCGGATACACGTCGAACGTTTCATAATTTCGAATAAGATGTAATTTCGAGTGAGTCGAAATTACGAATAAGATAGTACTTGCATGCAATGATTATTTTTCCATATATTTATTTAGGATATCATTTTTATTTAGATATATTTAATGTGTTACAGAGATCAGTGTTGTGTAATTCTAACTTGTACATCCGTAACGTGAATGTAACGCGAGAAAGAGACAACTTGTTCTGACAACTTGTAAGGAGATGGAGGAACCTTGATAATCTGAGGGGAGGAAGAGGTCTAGGAAAGGCATCGGGCGCCGGTGGAGCAACCTTGTGGTAATGCAAATGATTCTAAGCAACACGAATGATACAGAGTTTGATAGCGAGGCAATTATATGTTTACGAACCTTAATAATACCACGTAAAAACAGAAGACGCTGGACAAGAGACAAAGGGCCTCGACGGAATGAATATACATTTATAAAACTTAACTATTATGTATATAACCTTATTATTAGTTTATACATAATAATATAGTCTTATAACGTATATCTTTTGAGACCTTTTGCTTCTTATCAAGCGTATCCTTTTTTGCGTGGTATTATTATTGATTTCGAGAACGGCATAATTAGAGGAGTGTCCTGACCAGATATACTCTCTCGATGGTTTACCATTGTCTTCCGAGAGGTAGCGATCGAACAAAAGTCCGATGTTTCTGGCTGAATTTGAACCAGGTCTTTGACCCAGAAAGCAGACGCACAATTCTTTATACCACAATCGCTACAAACATTGTACGCGCTCAGCAATCAGATCAGCTTAAGCGCTCAGTGATTCTTTGTTACGATTGATTTATTCCAGCGAAGAGCTAACGGCAAAAACCAATTATATTAAATAATTACTGAGCATTCACTGATCTGCTTCGTCTGCTGAACGCGCCCATTATTATTTACTTGCGTAAAATTAGTAGTTTTTCTTCTTTTATTTGGTTTGATTTATTTTGATAGTTGAAAAGTAATAATTAGATAAAAAGAAAGCTGAAACTTTATAAAAGTTTATTTTAATAAAAGTCTGTCTGTAAAATGTATAATTATTTTAATAAATATTTAACTTAGAAGCGATTAAAATATTCTGTACGTGTAAGAATTCTCTTTTAAATCATTGATTATTTTAAGCATTATTTTAATTTGGATCTTATGTTTGTATGTTATAGAATCATCGTAGCTACGTGGCTGATAACTCCACCCGTTGCGCATCAATCGGTGAGTGACAAAAAAGTTATAATTTGAAAAAATTCGGCATACATATACTATTTCTATTGCAATAAAATCCATTTCTTTTTTATTGGATTTTGTAATAAAAAATTATTAAAAGAAAGCTTGAGAATCGTCTCGCTTTTCAAATTCATTCTCGCAAAGAACAGAAAAATTTGCGTTCTCTTTGAAAGTACTTATCTAAAAATTAAATTATAGTTTCGTTCGTTGGATTTTTTTATCATTTTAAAGCTAATTTGTACTATTTTATCATTTAAATAATTAAATATTTGAGTACACATTTCGTACATATTTTTGAAACAAAGAGCAAATAAAAGATCGTTATTTTGTAGAATATTTTTATTGGCTCAATTCTCTTGTTTTATACAAAACATCTAACAAACACAGATGCTTCCGGCTGAATTTATTCCGACCTGCCTTTACGAAAAGCGGCTAATCTATCAATTTTGCATCTAATGCACTTGTGTCTCGCAAATTCCCGAAGGGTACGCTACGTACAACGCGATTATCGGTTTGCTCAACAGTGCTCAATGTGGATGCATCTAATGGTTAATAAATACTAAGCTAACAATATCGGTAGATGTAATAAAATGTCATGTATCTGCGTATGTTTTGTACATATGTGTATGTATGATGTGTGTGTATGTCTGTGTGTATGTGTGTTTTTGTATGTATGCATGTGTATTCGTGTGTAATACTCAACAACTCTGCGCTAAAGTTCAGCCGCGGACGGGGACATGAGGCTAGGCCATGGAAACCGATTTTACAATCTCTGCGTAACATTTTTTTTTCCGCTATATACAAAAACGACCACTAGATCCTTTTTAACTCGTGTCTGGACGAAGAGCTTCGCGTGCACCTCCGCGCTCTGCTCACTTGACTCTAATCTCATTTCGCCGGCGAGTTTCGCGGCGTGGGCCGCGAACTCATCCTGCATCCACGCGCGCGTCCGATCTTAGGGGACGAAGACGCGAAAACTTGAGTGGCGACGGCGACGACGCGGATGGTCTCGACAATGTGATATGCCTTCGTAAGAGATCTATTTAGCAAAAAGTTCGTTTAAATCCATTAATGCCTAAAATTTTTATAGATTAATTAACAATTTATTACCGCAACAACAACAAAGTTTTTCCTCCTCCAGAGTTTTTCGTTGAGTTTCGCGCCGAGAACTCGGCGGCTCGCTGTTTAGCGAGAAAGTGTAATCAGATACATTACAATCTTCTCCGAAAGGGACCTTCGTGACTATATTCCAGCCGGTATTTTTCGGTACATCTCTCTTTCTTTTTCCGCGGTGAATCGGATCGTCGCGTGGGACCGCGCCATCGGGATTCCGTTGCACGCGCGTATTATGGAGCACAGCCTAGGATACTCTAATTTCGGCGTGGAATACTGACGATACGAATGGAACGTTTGAGGCTCAACGGTCTACGACGTTGAGCGATCTAAAGCTAGGAGAATGTGCCACTTAGCAGAGCATCGAATCGAAGGAAAATTAGAATTATCGGAATGAATACGTTCGGTTTCGGAACTGCGCGTTTTTAAAGCGTTTAGGAAACAAAAATTCATAATAAAGATTTTATCGCCCGGGATTAATTTCAGCCGTCAGTGCGTACGCGTGTTCTGATAATCTATTTGTAATTATCTATATAATAAAGATCTCCGCGAGAATTGGGAGTTCAAGGAATTCTTAAAATCAGCTTATAATGCATACTTTCATGTATTTATTAGAAAATTAGTAATATAGCTTTTCTTCATAAAATTATCGCTTTAATTTTTTTTTTAGAATTGACAAAATTTACGCTTTTTTGCTTTTCTGTCCGTACAAATTAATGCTCTTAACGATCTTTCGTGAAATCATTCCGCCACAAGTCAGCGAAATTTTCGTTTTTACTTTTCCCCTTTCTTTTTTGGAAGTAATAGTCATTTTAAAAGCCTCATGTTGCTATTCGCGATGTCGTTCAAAACCGCGTATAACCGTATTTGAGGATTTTCAATCCTCATCGCGGAACATGGTCATTATTTGCATAGAATCTTCGAAGCGCCACGCGTAGTCGCTCCGTTCCGGAACCGAACCGAGCTGCAGGAGACCATCAGGTTCGATGCCCTGGGCCTACGATACCTAGGGAATCGGTATCGAGAGTAGTTTCTACGGAATGTCATCTATTAGGAAACCTCGTGTCTCTGCGATGATTCGTAAATTGTGCGCCTCGTTCTCTCGTCCGGTAACGCGCACCTGCACGCGGCCGTTGGGATCCGGGATTTTTTTTCTCTTCTCCTCTCCGTCGCGATTCAATACGCGGAGAATCTCGCGATCTCGTCGTCGGTTGCGCAATTGACCCGCGTGTCGCGGTACGCGAACGGCTCTCTACGTTAGCGTGGAAACAAAAGTGTGAGAAAGACGGTCAGAGTCGTCAAAGCGGCTAATGATTCGTCGGTCGGCGCATCTCCATGGCCGCGATGTCGTCCACGGAGATAAGCTTTTCTATGGGGATGCACGAGAGCTCGCCGCCGACGCACGACTGCGGCTGTTGCCACCTGGCCTCCCTTTCCGCCTCCTTGGCCTTAAGCTCGGCCTCCCGCGCGCGGCGTTCCTTCAGCTTGAGCGAGAAGATCGCCACCGAGCGCGCCCGTTTCATCAGGCTTTGCTTCACGCGCGTCTTTTTCGCCTCTCGTTCCTCCTTCGTCGGAGGCCTCTCCTCCTCCTGACTCGAGATAGTCTTGCTGGAGTCCGACAGCCCGCTCGAGTCCTTCTCCTTTTCGGCGTGATAGGAGGACTGTCGCTCGCGATGTTCGTGCGTTTCTCGCTGATGATGATGCTGCTGCTGCTGCTGCTGCTGCTGCTGCTGCTGCTGCTGCTGCAGTTGTTGCTGCTGCTGCTGCTGCTGTTGGTGGTATTGCTGCCTCTCCGCTCTCTCGCGCTCCTTTTCCTTTTCGGGCGAGAAGCGGAACTTCTGGTTTCTATTAGGTACCGCCCACGGCGGTGCCGATCTTTAAGTAGGAAACTAATGTATTAGCGCCGAAATATGAAAGAGGAATAAAAACGAGTGATTAAAAGACACGCATAAGAAAAATATATCTTCATGTTGTTAGGAACGAAGAAAACTATTTAAACACTATCGATAAGCTAGAAGTGCAATCAAAACGAGCATTTTATCAGTGAAAAATCGCGGTACGTATTCCTTGTACCTGAGAAGATCGCTATCTGAGGAGGAGGCGAGTTCTTTCGAGACGATGCAATCGGTTGACCTGTGCAAAGTTAATTCCTCCTCCCGTACGCTCGCCGCAGCGGCACCGCTAATCTCGGAATCGCTAGATTTTCGGCCACCTGGCTCCAGGCCTAACCGACGTACCCAGTCAACGCCGCCGTGTGGTCCGATGGTCAGATGATGGCTATACTGATCGCTGGTACCGGACGCTTCCGGTTCGTTGCTCAACCACTCCCTCGCGCGTCTTCCTACTGAGAAACTTTTCGTTTCAACGCGATCATTTTTCCGCTTGATGAAAAGTCTTTCGCGCGGTTTTGCCGCGAACTTCTGCGATAATTAACACGTCGTCTACCCAGCGAGTTTCATATGTCTTACGTACACCACAGAATTGTTATTATTATAGGTATATAATGATAAAATATCGCGTAATATAATTAAACGTAAAAATTATTAATTGTTGAGTAACATATTTTTTTATTTTACATTGGTATGTAACTATTTATGTTATGTTGTTCAAAATTTTATTTATTTTTAGGTATTAATTTTTTTTATAAGCATTAAAAAAATTTTTTTTCGTAGCGCACTGACTACTGATGATCATGGCAGAGAACGTGTTAATTATTATTATTGTGATTTGGGCGTTGTATAAATTTTTCTTATATAAAATCGCTTCACATGAGCGACAGAAAACCGGACCTCGTTCGCCTCCGGGTATGGAACATCTCGGCGTGTTACGAATGTCTCGGACGTTGGAATTGCTCTCGGGTAGGAACGGGCTGGTCTCGCTGCTGCTTCCGCCGCTGCCGGGGGTTCCGGCCTGGGGTGGCGTTTCCGCGATCCTCGGCACCGCCACGGCGCTCGGCGTGGTCGGACCGCTCGGCGTGTGGGTGGTGGTCGAGGCCAGGGTCGGGGTGTCCGCACGACTGGACATGGTCGCGTAGGCGGCGCGATCGGAAAGCAACTGCTCTTCGGTCTCTCCGTCTGCTGGACTCACCACGAATCTCCCTGAGTTCGAGCGAAATTAATAGCTGGTAGGAGGAAGGAATGCAAATGCGACGGACAAAGCGACGGGCAAAGCGATTAACACTTTCTCGCCGCTCTAGAGCGGAGATCATTCGCTACACAGGATGCCGGATAGGCGGTTAATAATGGCCACTAGATCGGGAAAGATGAAATTGGAGGATACGAAGATATTTTAATTTGCATAAAGGTGTCATTTAAAATAACGTTGATTGATAGGTAGATAGTTAGATAGTAACATAGACGAGCGGTAAATAGTATACATAGATGAGCGTCACATAAAGATGAATTATGTACCTATCACTGTTGTCGGTTGTTGCTCCGGTGACGGAGTCGAGGACAACCTTCGGACCGCCTCGCGCCTTAAGAATTCCACTTTGGCCATCTCGGTGGCGACCCAATGAGGTATATCAGGAATCGCGCAAATAATCACGAATCGAATAGCGAACATGATGTGTTCCAATGCCACGATCAGTAAAATCGTTTGCGTTGCTGACATCTCCGGAAACATTCGTTGCACCTGCCCACTCAGTCCGATTAGGGCGCAGTTTACCAGTATAGCGACCAAGCCCATCGCCTCCATAGCATTCTGTCATCATATCAAAGTTGCAAAATTAAAGTTGCATCGATTGAACTATATATACATACACAGTGTCTCCTAATAATTTCGAAGATGGATTTAGCACGCAGATATAAGAAAGAGTTTATTCTATTTGATTTTAAATTACAATTATTTTTATCTTTTAATACTTTATTTTTATATCAATAACTGCTATAATGATTTTTTAATAGATATTAACGATATATGGCGAGGCGAGAGTTATTATTATAGTCTAAAGTAATTATTTTGAGCATTTTTTGTACTAACTGATACAATATAAAAATTAATATAATTCGTAAGAACGGTATTAAATATTTATTAAAATTTTTTTTAAATTATTTTGCTAAATATTCATTCTCACGTTTACACTCGTGTTTATTATGAGCTTTCGCAAATCGTTCTTCACTTACTTGCCACGTCCCGATATTCGAGACTCTACGTCCGAAAGGTCGTTGAAGCACGAAACATAGTTTGAATGCGTCACCGCGTAACTCGAGCAAATTCCCAAGTAAAGCAGCCATCGCAGCTAATGGGAATGCGGAAGAGAAGAGACAGACGTATCCCAGTTGCGATAACATTTCAAGATGCTCCGAAAACGCTCCGTCATACTGCAAATTGAAAATCATTATTCCTTAAGTTTAAGCAACACATCTTATTGTATTTTTCTGTAAATTACTTATTATAAATTTCAAAACTACTAAAAAGAGAGAGATATTTTTATTAGAGTACACATATAAATTTATATTATCTAGTGCGACTCTTTACTCTGTTAAAAATAGAAAACGCAATTATTTTATCGTCTAATTTATAACTATAAAGACTTTCTATTACATTTATATAAATTCGTATCTATTTAATGCTAAAAAATGCACAATTTGCTAGTTCTATTGCATATATTGTTTAAATAATTACATATAGAACTTTTAAACTAACCTGGCAATATTTGGCAGTAAAATAAATAATGTTCATTTAATTAATATTATTAACTTAATAAAAATGTCTAAATCTAGTTAACACGATGCTAAAAAAGTATGTATATTCAGCGCTGATCTTTGAATAATTGAAACATTTGATAACTTATCATATCTTGGGTGTGGATCTACGTGCATACATTAAAAAAAATTAAACCTCGGCAAAGTATACAAATTGAAAATACGTGGGTGGGCTCTGCGTGATAAGCCGTAAAAACTTTATTTATTCCTTTCGGTCACTCTGCTTATACTACGTAATACTAAAAAATGTATTTGCAAATATTCCGACAGTATACATATTATGCAAGGAATTAGTACTTGGAGCTAAATAGACTTTTTTTATTATCAAAATATTATAAAATCACTATTATTTACAGTGTATAAATATTTAATAAAATTGGATTTTATATATAAATTTAAAATAATATTTTGATAATATCATCAAATATTACACTGTTATATAATGCATTTCGAAAATAGTTCAATTAATCAAAATTATGCATTTTGCATTTTTGAGAAAAATCGCGATTATGACAGAAAGGATTGATTTTTAATGATAGGATGAGTGTGATATTACCTTCCTGGTCGATACCTGTGCGTCGTCGGTGGAATGGGTGTGAAACGGAAAAAAATCATTAAAATTCTGCAAAAAAGAAACGACCAACAAACGCAACGTGACATTGATATTGCTATTAATAATTCGGCTCAGTCGTCATGCGCAGAGTGCAATCTGAGCAGAAAGAATGGACAAAAAGATCTTGGAGGCGAGATAAATGGGTCGATTTATGATACGACGCGTTCGATTCACTCGCAGTCTCATGCAACCCCCTCGAAACTCAAGGAGAGAGACCTTGACGGGACGGCTCAAGTACCTATTAAGCATAATCTTGATAGAGGGAGAGAGATTTAGTCTTCCTTAATTTTACATAGAGTTTTACATAGAGTTTTCAATTGCGAGTACTTCGAAGGTCGATATGCGTGTGCGGTGTAGTGCTCCCAGAAAAAACGAAACAGCTATTGGCTAAATCTAGACCAAACCTTGAACGTAACGTCACTAAGTAGAGAATTAGTGGGATGCCCTACTCTGTAGAGGGAACTCTCCAATTCTGCCTGGCTGACGTTTCGCGGTTGCTTCGTTTTGCCGCCGTCGGGCCGCTCGTCCTTCTCCTCGGTGTCCTTACCGCCCTGCATCTCCTCACCCTCCGGCTGGCCGGGTGGCGGTCGCGCCTCGCTCGGACTCAGCGCCCCGAACAGCTCGAAGCTCAGCCGCGCCAGCCGTAGTTGCTCGATCAGATACGGGATCGCGGATTCCTTCAGATTGCCGATTACTTGGCGAGCTATGAGCAGCGCCGCCAATTGCTGAAATGGAAATTTGTATTCTCATGTGATTATAACACATCTCGCGCGGGGGAGGGGGATGGCTGAATCCTCACCTCCTTGAGTCTCTCTTGATCTTGAAGATAGAAGGCGATGTAAAACAGCGATAGGAAGGAGTTTACAAACTGAAACTGAAATATAGGATAGCCGTTGCAGATTATCCGGAGATCACAGTGCCGTTAACACACACATCATAGGTACCAGATACACACAAAAGCACGGTTACGAAGACCTGTGATGTATAAGATTATTAAGCGTAAGCAAAAAAGTGTTCTTTTGCAAAAAGAATGTTCATGCAGCGACAGAGACAGCCAGAGCAGGCACTTCTGCTTTGAAACAAAAAGCTCAAAGTCTACATTGTATTTTTCAAAATGTCCACCTCTAATATGCGATTGCTCTTCTTCAAACATTGTCGTTAGTTTTTAATTAATTTTTTTGTAAGCTCATTTGTCTGAATCGCAGATTAATGCATCAAATTTGAGTAGTGAAATTATTTTTCCAGTCATAGAAAATTTATTTTATAAGTGAATAAATCCTTTAGAATTTAATTTTTAAGTATATTGCGTTATATTTTAGGTAAAATTTATGTGTCAATTTAGAATTAGAATAGGTATATCATGAAAAATTAATTATAAAAAAATAACTTGAGATTAATAAATTATATTTCTATAAGATTTTTTTCTGTGAGAAAATTTATCTATTTAGTCACTTTACACAGCAGTGTATCTAATAAATTGTAACATAATGAATAAAGAAGCGATTGTAGTAATTAAATTATATCATAGTTCACTGAAGTAATCACGCATAATACAACTATGAAGTTATTAAACTCGTTTGAATATAGTGTTATATTTGATTTCGATTTTAAAATTAATTTATGATCGCGAGCAATTAGTTGCAAAATAACGATTAAAATAACAGTGATCAAGTTAAACGATGCAGACAAATTACAATATAATTACATAATGTCGTCTATTACAGATAGCTATTAATAAAGCTTAATATTCAATTCGATTCATGACACACGAAAATATATATTTGTGATAATATGAGGAAAAAAAAAGATAGATTTTTATATTTATTTAATATTATTTATCGCATTTATAGAGGGGAACATGTGTACAACACAGCACAACACTGATATTCTATTCGTTGAAAATGGAGAGTTCTTCTTATTACCAGTGCCACTTTGTAGATCAGATGATTCTCGTACTCGGTGTCTAGTCGATAGTTTTCTGCGTCCAACACACAAAAATCACAAATACTATCTACCGCACCATGAACGCTCTCCAAAAATTTAAATAATAACGAAACTGTATCTATAGTATGTCACGGGTTTAGTCACATAAAAAAATAACATAACAACAATCTTTCATGTAAACATATGATGTTCTTGTTACATAATCTTTCAATTATTCTCTAGAAGAAGCTAAGCCGTGGAAAAATTATCGAAAGTATATGCTATGCTTTTAAACTAGACGTGCACAGTGTACCGTAGAATACACATATCGATGCGAAAAAGTCGGCAAATGGCAATTGTTCGTATTTTGAGTCGCACGGATATACGATCATGTGTCGATAGAGAGATAGGAAGAGAGAGAAAGAGAGAGAGAAAGAGATAGGAAGAGAGGGAGGGAGGATAAGAAAGTTAGAGGAAGATAGTGTAAAGTACAGGGACTCGATTATTATTGGGACACATACCCAAATCGTTTAACCACACCGCGACTTTGAAGTACGCTTCGTCCATCAATGCGATCACTATCGCAAGCAGCACCTTTGGCACGTAACTAAGCCAAAATCCGTAACCTCCAGATTCGAGATGTGCGTCCCACCAATCCTGTAAGTCAAACAAATCAAAGGATCTGTAGCATAAATTTTATATCACGATTTCTTCAACTTCTTTCTCTTAAGAATAAGTTCAAGTAAATTTAATATATAATTCATATATACATTCAAAATAAATAAGCCTAAGTAAAAAAATTTTTTTGCTATTTGGATTCACAAGTTTTAGATTTAAACAATTATTATGTTTGCATCGCTTTCCTATTTTTAAATGATCAAAATTGCCTTATTATATGCAGAAATAAGTCTTTAAATAATTTTAATATAATCATTTTCGTCAATCAATTTAAATTTTTTTACGGTTAATAATAATTAATTAATAAATGTACAGGGTACTTATATATACCTGTATCTGAAAACTCAGAATCATAACGATGAAGACGAAGAGTAAACAGATTGCGATAATAGGCACGCTCACGAAGTATCGAAACATATTTCTTCGCCATCTGGGATACGTCGGTTCCAGCCTACCCGTCACCGGTGAAATCTCGAGAGTTCCCTGAACACAGTTAGGATCGAATTGATTAAATCGAATAAACTTCGACAAACGGGTTTTAAAAGTGGACTTTCGTTCATTAAAAATCCCTCGCAGAATTCTCTATATTTTTAATACTACATAGCAAAAGCGTATTCTATTCTCATAGACGCTGTGCAGGTGTAGACGCTGGAGTAGCACACTACGGCGTTGCCATACCGGAGCATCGGAGTGCCAAGTCTTAAAGATGTTTGAAAGATTCTTACTGTAAATAGAGGTCTAGGCTCGACCAATAAATCGTCCCTCTGATCCAAAGTGCCCCACCTGTACGCCAATTCCGCGCCCCGCCTTTTCCACGTCTCCAGGTATACGGTAGCCCATATCACGTTGAACACCGAAAACAGTACGTACGCCACGTCCTCCACCGCTTGGTTCCTGCCGATGATGCCGACCTAAACAGTCGGGATTCGATAATTACCTATTTTTGCTCGACTTCTAATTGAATCCAAGACCACTCCGTTGTCCGAGAATCGGTTCATTTCAAGTCCAAATTTTTCCCATTACACATTTTTCGTTTTATTTCGTTTATTAAATAAACAGGATATGCTACGGGCTTATATTCGTTATTTAAATTACGCGAGACGCGTATACATACCCAGTATATGACACCCACTGCAGCTGGAACGATCAAAGCGGTGGTGTAGTGGCCGAGCCAGGCGAAGTACATGGTGATTTTCACCCCGAAGTATTTACAAATATCGTCCAACGGTTGGGGACTGAGGAACGCGCGGACCCAGCTCCGTTGCAGTTTCTCTAACGCGGGTAATTCGTGAAGAGGGAAGACCTGACGAAAGCAGAATCGCGTCACGGATTCTCCCCTTCGACGAGACGAGATTCGAGGAGGTCCTGGGGAAAGGAGATTTGAGGGAGATTCCTCAAATCTCGTCTCGTCGAAGGAGGTGCGAAAAACATTAAAATTAATACACATGTATATCGCACCTGAGAAATAATACCAGATGAAATGCACTTTGGGATAATCGCTTGACCCTCCACCATCTTAAGACCGGATAGGCTATGGAGATCGTGAGGGCCGGCCCTCAGGGTGTGAAGTAGGTGCAACACCAGGGACTGTCTTTCCTGGGTAGTGAAGAATCGTATCTCGTCGTCGCTGCCTTCGAAGCAGTTGGCCTCGGAGCCGACGAACTCCTTGAATCCACCGCCGAACTCCTGTCTCAGGGTCTTTGGAAGATGCATCTCCTCGGCGGCCTTGAGCAGACTGCGAGCCGAGTTGGAGTTACATCTATACAGCTGTCCTCATTCGCGCCGTACATATTTTTCTCAAAATATATGCCTTACGCTCTATCGATACTCTGATACACTTACACGCTAAATGGTGCCGTAATGTAAAACCCGTAACTGTCCGACGAGGCGTGATGTCGCACGTGAACTACTAGCCCCGGGGTTCCAGCCCGGAGCCGACCTAGAAGCCACATCAAGGTCTCGTCGTTTGCCCCGTTGGGGAACATCATGACTACATCGCATTCCTAAAAGAATTCAAGCTATTAAGCTTTTTGTGCAGTTTCTTCTTGAGTTTACGTGACAGAAAGTCACGTGTTGAATTTAGAACGCTTATTTTTCTATATACATTTTATTTATCTGCAGGCAGATCTATGTACATATAGATCGATGTTATCTCTAATGCGAATATAACAAATTAAAAACAATTTAAGTAATTTTTATAAAAATAATTTTATAAGTAGTATTTAGTCTACGTCTGTGCAGTCACTATAATAATTGTTAATGATCGCAAAGAAAAAGTTTTCGAAGGGCATATTAAGTTTATTGGGCTACCGCGTAAATCCATTAGGTACGCTCTCCGAGGAATAGTTCAACGGTCTTACATGTCTTTTTCGTGAAATATTAATGGTCTCCAACGCGACCGAAAAAACCACTCGAAGGTTTAGTGGTGTGGCCAAGTAGTTACGTGCATTACTAGGTCAGCCGTGTTATCCGGGTATCGTTGTACGTGAATTGGCAATATCAAGCGCTATACTATTTGGATTTCAGCCAATTTATTCTGATTCTCGAGAAGTTAAGATTAGGCGTGGAGATTTTTTCTACTGCCATCGAAAAACTCGACATTATATTTAGAAAAGAATTTGAATTTCGAAGTAGGTATATAATTGAGCAATGAATTAATTCCACATTGCACAAGAAATTACTTATATTATCATTCTTAGTTTATTATTTATTTGTTTACTATCCACTTTATCAGTATTATGCCATCAAAATAATTCCTTTTATTTCCTGTTTTTCTTTCTTTTCTAATTTATAAGATTAATTAATGCGTACAATATAATTCTTCTCGTCTTATTTGACCGAAAAAGTTCGCGATGTATTATTTACTTAAAAAATATTACGTTACAGCAAAAATATTTGTTAAATTAATACATTCCATAATTTTTATTTGTACGCGAGAAAATATATATTATTGCAACTGATGAAAACAAGTGAGTTTGTAAGTCATGTAAATACGTAAATTCTATAGATGATATTGTGTATGTGTGTTCTATAGATGATATTATGATATCTATTGCATTTATATAAATTAAATCGATGAATTAAATAATATTTTCGAAAAAGAGAGAAGAGAGAATTTTTGAAGTTTTTATTAGAAATAACATATTGTTAAAATGGTAAACGTCCGATATTTCATAAAATAACAGATCCAAGGTAAATTCACTTCACATCGTGCTAACACGACAAAAATCGAATCCGTAATTCAAGACGGAGAGAATAGCAGAAGGACAAACAAAATAGTAGAGAATCAACAATGTAGCTTGAAAGAGTAAACATCGCGATACACGCGAAGTTCTTCGGTACTCACTAATAGCTTAATGTGAACGATCGATATATTATTACTTCCATGGAAACAGAACTACCATAATTCTTAACGTTTGTTCACACAGTGTCGAATTCGTTGATCCAATTCAGAGGAAACTTTTTGTTTGTCTCTTTAAGTATATAAAATTCACAGTTGGTATTCTTATTAAATATACATATGTGCCGACGTGTTTCTTTTATCAGATTAGAGTTTCGCGATGATATCGTCGAGCCACGCTGTATGCGATGGTTGATGAAGATAGTCACGTACATGTGGAAGAAATAGAGATACTTAAGTACGTATCGATAATGGCGGCATACTATTGTTATCGCTGTGACCATGGCAATCGAGTATTAAAAGGATACTATACAAGCGATATTGCATTATCAGGCGAGAAAACTGGCGTTGCCTTTCATCATAAAGCAATATTCGTGCAATAAACATACATAATGACCGGAGTGAAACATGAATGACGCATATCTCACTCTTTTAATGTGTTTGAAATCAATAATTCACCTGTGTAAATATTGTTGCTATGTATTAAAATTAAATTACTGTGGCATTGACGTATCTATATATTTCGAGTATAATTGAACAAAGCTCGCGAGGCGGGCAATTTCATTCATTTTTTGAAAAAAAATGAATGAAATTGAAGTACTCTGTGCAACAAAAGGTTCGTAAATAATATTATATTTGTCAAATTTGGTGTCGAATAATATTCCACCAAATTTGATATTAAAGAACATTTTTAAAAAACATTTTATTAATAACTTATTTCAATTAAGTGTTACTTTTAAACGAAAAGTTATGAAATTTCACTTCTATTGTCGATTGAAAGATATGAATTTCCGTCAAGTCGTTTACGGAATTCACGTGTTATCCACGATGCCGAGCGAACACTTAATAGTTTTATTCTTATCGTAAAAATAAGTTTCGATCTACTTTTAATTGTGTTTAATGATACTTTAAATACATACCTGAGTAGGAACCTTTTGTATCCATAGGCGGCGGGGGGTCATTAAATGGCCTGTACATGGTATTTTTCGTCTCAAAAGACGAGATGCTGCAACAAACAAAGACATATACACAACCATTAAATTTATGTTAGATACGATATAAACTCATATCATTGGTTGCACTAAGAATTAAAATATAGGGATGAATGAAAGTTTTAAGTCTTGATACGCGTGCAGCTTCTGTAATATTTAATATTCCCAGTTATTTATTGACATGGCACGAGTGTATAATTTCTTTTATCGATTCTTTTTTTAACTGGCATGTGTCGTCTTAGCTTCATTGTGGGCGTATGCCCTTTTTAAAAATCGATTTTCGAATTATTCCCAGGTTGGACCTCGACCTCATTATCGAGGAAATAAATTTATGCACATTGCAACATTGAACGGCGATTCTTTAAATAAACTAGCGGTACGTTTCTTGGGCTGAAAATTTTACTACATCGTTACAATAAGAGTTTCGCGATCGCGCGCATATTTCTAATGGAAAAAGAGGGCATCAATTCCTTTTTTTTCGTGCAAATTTTCTCAAGCATTATAAATATAAATAGACTTTTTAACATTAGAACTTTTTCTTTTTTTACATTTTTCCATAAACTATATGTTGTTATGAAAAAATAAAAAGTGATAATTAATAGCTATTTTTTTTACATAGAACTAGAATTAGTTGGATAATCTAATAAGATGATCATGTGAAAGAAGTTATATTTATTATGACGCACATAATTCACTTTTGTAGAATTTGTTTGTAAAGCAATTGTCAAAGAATAACGTTTCATCTAGAGCCGATCCCTCTGACGTCAGTTAACTTCAGTCGTAGTTTGATTGTCTCTCTTGTTTGCTGAAAGGGGCGGAGAAACAATTAAACTACGGTTAAAGTCAATCGATGTGGTAAGAATCTCCGGACACGTATAACGAAAACCAGGTGGTAAATTATACCTCCGTGCAAAGGATGCGACCATTAATCTCGCATACACGAAAACGTGTAATGACTAAAAATCCCTCGACAAGATAAAGTATGTGCGATTACTTTGAGCGGAGCCGAAGGTATCTAGCGTAGGCGTGAAGAAGGGCATCCATCTATGTCGACCGCAAAACTTCAAAGCTCTCATCGGAATACACTGTCGTTAAACGCCAGTAGATTTCAAATTTGCGAGAACCAGGTTTTTATGGGAAAAGATCAAACGTTTGTAATGTCTTTTGCGAATTTTTACATAAAACTAGACATTCAATTGTTCATAATTTTCATTTCTCTTATTATTTACTTAAATAATTAAAAATTTTAATTATTATCTAATTATAATGTGATCATATAACATACAATGCGTAGAAATAATCAATTATACAATAATTTCAAAGAATTATTAAATAAAATAATTAATAATAATAAATACAGAGTTTTGTTCGTATAAGATATACGAAACAGTAATGTATATTTTAATTATTTTTATTAAATTTTTTGTATATAGAAATTTTTTTTAATTACGACTTTATTAGAGTATTTTAATAGCAAGTATATTAAATTGTTGTTTTTACTAAACTGTTATTCTGGGAGCTTTCCCAATAATGTAGAGACAATGTAACGTAAATGATGGCAGAGTTCCAACAGTAGTCAAGTCAGAAGAATTGCTAATGCAAGTGTACATAAGTTATTCTGCATTTTATATCTTGTTATCTCTCGGTGCAGACATATAATTTGAATTACGAGTTTCATTAACATCATTTATGTGCAATAATACCATAGCAATCAATTTAGGGTATCTTAAGATCTTTTAATAGGATCGTTTTATTTCCATTTTTTAATTCTTGATATTTATATATTTTTGAAATTAAAGAAACAATGTGTTAGATAGATAAATATCATGAAAAGGAGAAATTCGTACAATTTTAGAATTTTAGATTATTACGTGACGTAATAATTTAGATACAAATATTAGTTCTTCTAACCCCGTGACATGACAATTCATGGTGTAAATATTGGTTCTTCTAGCTCCATAGTAGATACTTCGAAGCTAAATCTCTTTAGAAATATTTTAAGAGACACTCGAAACACACATTATTATGTAATTCGAGAGAAGAAATTGTTTACGACATGTATATATTTTTTATAAAAAAATATTTTTTTTTTCTTAACAAGGAGGGGGTAAAATATTTGGTACTAGGAATAAATTAATAGAGATTTTGTTAGCTTTATATTACTCTCTTGATTATTAATGCTCTGGTGCGCCGCGGTCGTACGTGCTCCCGCGAAACTATTTGAATAATTAATAACTCGCGAGCCACATCAGGTCGGAAATTCGCACCTCTGAGATCTAGAATATACACCGTGGTTAAGCTGCCGCAGAAGGTCCTCATTCGGAATCCCTTCGGATGAACCGTCGCTGAAATGCTACCGCCCGCATCTCATTTCAGTGGGGGGATGAGGAACGGAGCGAGAATCCCTCTTACGTCACAACCGCGCGTACATACAGACATATTATATATATAGATATATTATCTATACTTTCGCGCGCGAAGTGCACACGCTATCTACATCTCGTTTACGAACGGTGCTGCACAAAACGCGGAAATTACGGACACGACCGCCTCGAACGAGAAATCGCGCGTTTCCGTTTAAGGAAGTTTAACATTGTCAATGCCGCGCATCACGGACGTCGCACTTAGGCAAAATATTATCGTAGCGCGACAATTACGCGAGAAGTGTATATGTGCTTCAAAATCCAGATTTATTAATACACATACAACATGTTATGTAGATTCTACACTTGATAGATAACTTCTTTTTCTACACTCTATACTTTTCATACTTATATAATATTTATCGATTTCTCGATTAGACTAGACTATATACATCTCCTCTTAGCAAAAACATTTGAATATACTTTATTTTCTACTTTTAAGTTGGTGAAAATTTAGATATTTCCGCAAAACGAGAGGATGACGTAAATGCGTTAGCATTTTTAAGTAAACTTAGTATAATTTTAATTTAAAATTTAGTTATCAAAATTGTGCAAAATTACCGCGTTTTATCATTTATAGATTTTTTAATCGCATTAAATACAATTCTCTTTTGTTTATAAAATAAAACGACAATCGTATTATTGCATCGTAATATTTAGCAGCATATCTCATATTTTTCCGCTTGTGCCGTCATATGGCTGCATAAAATTGTCGAAAGATTTTTCCTGTTTTCAGTTTTCGCGATGTATATTTTATTATCGTACAATCCTCCCGAGAATGTTAACAAGAAACCATTGCTTTGCTTTGACAGATTGAGATCAACTTTGTTTACGTCTTTTGGTCCAAATAACATATTTCATTATCTTCTCACCTATTTAGATCTTTAATCAATTTTGTATATTTTATTACAAGTAGTAATATATTACTGCAGGCAAGCTATTTTCGAAGTCGATGAAGTACGCCTACAAATAATTTGTGCGCCATGCAAGAACTTTTTTTACCGATTGTGAGTAGTCATGCTTCATCGACTCGGTATACTCGAAATGAGGTCAATGCACTTTGTTTACACTTGCAGTCCGATGACATCGAACGACTTCAAGGCGCCAGTGCATCTATAAAAGTATAAAAGCTTTTCCATGTTGCGCTTTCTTGAGGAAAAAGCTTTTGCAAATAGTTGCAATAAAATTACACTAAAACGTATGAGCAGAAGATGAAATTATCTTTAGATATCTTTCTTTTTTTTTTCACCCTAATGTGTATTATAATAGATAATTAATCTAGTTACCGTTTTTGTATTAGTCACCTACTTGAATATCCATAAATCTTTATATTAAAAATTCTACCATTAATTTTTATATTTTAAAAAATTTTATATTTTAAATAGTTAAAATTTATTTATATTTTGAAAAAAATGTATTTTATTTTTTTTTTAAATAAAATTTTTATTATAGCAAAAATAAATCGCTATAAATACATATTTTAATATTACATAATTATTTGATATAAAGAGATTATAGAATACAATTTAAGTCAATTTAAAGATATTAGACTAGTAGAAAGGTCTTAGACTTTGCAATGAAATGTTAACGCAATAATAATATAATGCGATTTTGTCAAAGTAGTAACATAGCTTTAATTAAAAGTTTCTTTAATACATAAAAAATGTGAAACACTAGAAAAGAATCTACCTCTTTATTAACATTTTTACTCGCATTCATCATTCGTAACTGCCGAAGAAAAACGATTACATTATGTTATGCTATTCTTGTTCAAAAATGTTATACATTCGTTATAGATTTTTTTGCAATATTTTCTTAACAGTGTAATTATCGTATACTTCAACGGGATACGCTGTATAAACTTCTTCTTTACTTCTCTTACGAATGGGGGTGATTTAACTTAGTTGTCTAGTTCATCAGAAATTTTCTCTTTTATGAAGTCTTCCAGAATAGCAAGAAGAAAATAGTATCGAAAAAAGATGAAAAAGTTAAAAAAGATTAAAAGATATTTTATATAAAGATCTCAATTAAGTTTATGAAAAAAAATTGATATGAAAGAATTCGTTAGAATTTATAGATAAACAAGAAAGAGCGACACATCGCGAATTTAGTTTCGCCCATTACAAATTCTTTGTAATCGCGAATACCAAATGATAACTATTGCAATCACTGAAATTTGCATTGAAGTCGTGACATCGACTATCGTGTCTTCGTTTTAAATTCCATATACGTTGTTTCAAATCGGCAATCAGTGAAATAATACACAATGTAGATAATACACAGTGTGTCACATCATTCGGTTCAATGCGCAATTGTGATATGACACAAAAACAGGTCGAGTAGTCGTATTCGAGCAGCACGATTGGGATCGACGTTAACAAACGCTAAGCGTTCCTCTTTGCTTTATGTCTTCTGAGAGCTGTACTTTCTAAGAACACCGGCGATCCTTCAAACCTTTTTAACTTTGTCGTCGCCGGAGTTGTTCCATTTTAATGTTTACAAGATTCGACAATTTGAAAAACGGACAGTATAAAAACTTTTCTGAAATATAAAATTTACAGTATAAAAATTTGGTGCAAAGTCTTTGTTTGAATTAATTTGGATTAATTTAATCGAGATTTAAGAATAATATATTTAAATTAAATAATATTAAAACAAGATATTAGGAAATCTGTATATAAAATCAAGTAAAATCTAATAATTTTATCCTTTTGCATTAGTCAAATCTTGCGCCATGTGTCAAACGAATTTGGGTTAACGTTGTTTTCGAAGTTGAAACCGAAGTTTCTAGTCTCATGTGAATTTCGTGCTAATCAAATTTGTTAATAAGAAGTTTTTGACTTTAGTAAACCCGAAAATTTCACGGTTGTTAGCACTAGCTGAATTAATTATAACTTTCGTCTTATCGTAAAATTATATATTATAATTTCAATCATTCAGGTTCTGTATTCAAGATATTATGTTGTAAATGTGTTCAATGTCAACTTAAATATTTCGAAGGACAGAGAATTTTTACAAGCAAATTTTTTTTAAGTTTTATTTCTACAACATAATTAAATGTGATGAAAGATTTGTGAATATTTTTAAATAAATATCCGAAACATTAAACTATATACGAAAATTAAAAAAATACATTAACATAAATCATGATGTAAATTAAAGAATGGATGTTTTTACATTTGTCCAATTTGACATCACAATTCGTTTCTATATTGCACCCAATTTCCAAATTTATTTATGTTTTAATTGAAAATTTAGTAGTATCAAAATGTTAATATAATCTTCCTTTGTTGAATATATTCAGTTTGATGTTCTATTATTATTATTATTATTATTATTATTATCGAATTGTGTACTAATTATTCTGTAGATATTATACAGCACAAGCAGTGAACTATTTTTACTACATACATACATACATACACACAAACACTAATGCATTCAGCCCACGTGCAAGGGATTCTTACGTAACTCCCGTGCGCGCATAAAGTGCACCGAATGTTAAAATTGGCAAAGCATAGGAGAAACGATGAGATTTGACCACGTAGAACAACTGCAATCCCGGAACTGCAGTTATTTTTACAAAACCGGATTTTCTTATTAAACAAATCAGTTATCATTACAATTTATGAAATATTTAGGAATCTTATGTTATGAAAGAGGAATTATTAAAAAAAAATGCTCAATAATTTATTCTTAATTAAAAATTTTAAATTTATTACTTTTGTTACATAGCAAAACAGGAAGAAATAATTGTTTGATTATTATTAATAATAATTAGTTCATTATCTCTTCCCTTTTATTTAATGATTTAATATATTATTAATAGTGATATATATTATATACATTTAATTAGGTTTAATATATTGAATTTATTACGTTTAATTATTAATACATTAAATTTATTATTAAGTTACGCAAGCGTCCATTTGATAAATTTGTGACATTTAGAATTTTAATTTTTATTTCATTTTTGTTATAATTTTGTATGGGACGAGAAAAAATATAACAAGTTTAAATTCAACATTGATTTGCCGTTATACACGTGTAATACACAATTAAGAGGAAATTTAAATTTCGTAACAGGTATACATGTTATGCATTCCGAAGAAGATGCTATCGATTAAACATGAAATAATTTCTATTTCATGTTCTATCGCGCGAAAATATGTATATGCGATGCGTTTATTATACCAACCCGCATAAATGCCATAACAGCAACCATTTCGAAAGTGCAACTGCAACATGGCGGTCTGGAAATATCGAGGTCAAAAGGGGGATCAACATAACATAAAACATGTTTTTTTTGCAATGATATTTATCATCGTAGATCGAGCGCGGTGTCATTTCGCTGTACCGCCGGAAACCGCATGAATTCATCTCTCTCGAAATTTATGTATTATTTATGAGTCTCGTCATGTTCGCAGATACATCAATTGAACGATTCTAGCATATCGAACATGTCCATCAAAGCGTTAAAATGCAAAGATGCGGAAGTAACCGCATAACTTTATGTTTACGTATTGCTTAATAATAATAAATTAGGATACGTATAATGAATATTGTTTTAATAAACATACAAAAAATTATTAAATACGCAAGCGTTATTTTATAAATTTGTGTGACATGTTTTTAGAATTTTAATTTTTAAATCGATTAAGCCTATATGACATCTTAATTATGTAGAATGTTAATTTTCATTTTATTTTTGTTATAATTTCGGAGGAAAGAATAGAGAAAATATAACAAAACACATAACATTTGAATATTGAAATGTTCAGATGGTTCATGAGAGTTTATGAGAGAGATTAATAATAAATAAAATGCGACAAGTGATTCGATCCATAAGATTTAAATCTGCATCCTATGGTGACTATCTTTAATCACTGATCGCAATATTAGGGGCAACACGCGATCGAGATACATAGATGACTTGCAAATTGGTATTAACACACATCGGTTCGCTTCTCCGCTCGGTCACTCCGTTCGAACGAGGCCAGGAACGGAGAGTGTTCCGTCTATCGGGCGGTATCACGGGGAAGAGAGATCGATCCCGATATCCGTGCACCAGAAAGTCGAAAGGACTCGGGGCTAGGTATCCGCAGCGACGAGCGGTTACGCTAAGTCTCTTAAGTAAATGATGATGATACGATGGGGAACGCGATGGTATCGCGAAAAGGGGTCGAAGAAGTTGGCGCCTGACTCACCCTTATCGAGGGTCTCTCGGGCCGCGTGTATGACCTTTCTGCGACGGAGACCGTCGCCCGCTAGGGCGCTCGTCATCGCGCTGGTGAAGGTCGTGCCGGTGCTCGTCGCCGATGACGCGGTCCTAACATCGTCGCCGTTCGCGCACTCGTCCGCCGTGGACGCGGACGTGGTGGCGGCGGTTGACGCGCGATGATAGTGGTGGTCGAGGAGATTGATCGGGGACCCCTCGCCGCCTGGCATAATGTCCCGGACTGCCAGAGGGACCGTAGTCCTTAGCCGGAGGACCCTTGCGCCTCAACTGGACTGTGACTCCTCTCACTACGTCGTTCTCGTCCGTCCCCTCCCCGCCCGCCCCACCTCCATAGCCACAGTTTACTCGTTGCACCCACCCCTCCTCGTGGCCTCGTCACTCCTCACCCTTCGCCGCCTATCGTGCCACCTAGCCATCCGTTCGCACGATGACGACGAGGGGGGTGAGATCCCTACGAGCATCCCCCGTCGTATTTCCGGTGCCGGAATACCATCCCTCCATGACGTGGCACCATCTGCACGAGAGGGGTTGAACTTTGCCGATCGATGACGACATAAGGGTAGGTTTTGGCCGAGGCGCGAGATGAAGTTCGTCTTGAGAGTGAAGAAAAAGTTACTAGAGCGGCAGCGTAAATCTTATATAGAATCAATCCATTCATAAATTTTACATTCATATATTTTTTTTTGTATTTACTTAAAAGTATTAATTTACAAAAAATTTAAATCTTTCTTTCAAAAAATAAAGATTCTCGTAATTAAGAAGACTAATAAATAGCTTGCATTATTTCGGATTGTTTAGGAAAAAGAGGAAGGGATAAAATACTTTTGTTTTCTTGCGTTTTCACATCTTTATTAAAATACTTACACGCTTAACTTACACGTATACTACACAAGTATGTAGTTAAATTAAATAGACTTAGCTCCCTACGTTACTCGCGCAAGCCGGGCTTCTGCGCTTCGATCTCGCTCTGGAAGGACGCCGGCACACGCTCGGCGCCTTTTTTATAAGTGCGCGTCGCGACGGACGATCGATTTGCCGCCGGCGACGCAGAATTTCCTTCCCAGACATCCCTTTTCACAACTGATATCACGTTGATATTTCGCTTTCAACCCTCCGACACACATAATTTGTCGCGACATCTTGAGCGATGCCCTATATCTCCCAGCGATAAAATATCCTCTCTAAACGGAGGCGCCTAGAGAGAATATTGATCATTCCTTACGTGTTTATGTGTGAGACGAAAACTTGGTGATCAATTCACTGTTCTGCTATTGCGCCGTAATTCGGTTGACATTTTAGGCTAAACATAAATTTATCTTTTGTGACGTAAAGAGAGTCCTTTTTGTTTATGATTTAATGTGTAATTAAGAGAATTCTGTGTGCGAAGAACAATTTAAGAGAATATGAGGACATAACTCTAGTTTCGGGCATTAACAAACATGACTTTTGTACGACTTTTGGAGATTGTTAATACGATATATCTCTATCAATAAATAAAAATTATTCAAAAAGTTAACACTTTTCTGTCCGGAAGTTTCAATTATTTGATATATATATATATATATCGTAGCTTAGCTCTTTAGAACCTTCTTACGGATCTTTAAAATCAACATATGTAAAAGTAACAGTTAACATATACACACGCGTATTGATATGAAAAATGTTGCTAAGTTTTAATATGTTTTACTGCATTTGTCAATAATGGTAGATATTCAATAAACAATTCTCGAGTTTTCTGCCTGTCACTCTTAGTTTACCTTTCAACAACCGGACAGGAAAATGCTAATGATAACCCCACAACCGAATTTCCCTCATCTCGTCATAGCGTCCTCCATCTTGGGTCTCGTCATCACGCATCGACCTCTATAGCAAATCTCCGTCATGTGGGACACCTTCGTGGTGGTCGAGGTTCTAAGGACCTTGCCCAGCATCGTAGAGTTCGTCCTGAACACATTGCTTGCTTGTCTGAGCGATGTCTTCGTGGTCGTCGTGGAGGGTTCTGTTATCGGGGTTCCCTCGGACGGTACCACCGTGTTCGCGGTCGTGTCTGGGATCAGCGTGACAGCTTCGAAAGTGGTAGGGCTCTCCTTCGTCGTCGCCTCCTGCGTCTCCTCGGGTTTCGTCCCGTTCTCTTCGACCTTGACGCGTTGGGTCGCAGAAGTGTCCTGCGGAGAGCCAGTCGGTACGGTTCTCCGATCGATCTCTTCACTTTCATTCGCCGCGTGCGCCGAAGCGGTGCCGTTCGAGTTATAATTGTCTGTCTCACTTTTGGCCTCGACCACTTTTGCGACCTCCTCGCCCTCGGCGTTCTTCATGCTGTCGAAGATGGCCTTCACGTAGTCGGAGAGCGTTTTCACGCTGCCATCGCCCTCGTCTTGCGTAACGGCACCGGGGATGGCCGTCGTGGAATATGAATTCGACTTGTCGAGAGCCGACGGGTATCTCACTTCGCTCCACTTGGCTCTGTGATTCTTCGGGTGCGCCTGATCTTCTTTAACGTTTTCCTGCCTCTTCAACGTCATTATGTGTTCCTTCTCTTTACCGATGGCACTCAGTTTTCGTATATCTTCCTTCGGGAAGCCGGTTACTTTCGTTGCGCTATCCTCGTCTTTATTCGCGATGCCTGATCCGGGTGAATTTGATGGCAGATTATATCTTTGATTAAATACTTCGACGTTTTCCAAATCGTTCTGCTCGCTTTTGTCTTCCTGAGAATTCTTGTACTCCTCCGATTTAGATACTTTTTGCACTTCAGTTTCTCCTTGCGACAAATGAGTTGTTCCCTCTGATGTCACTTGAGCCTCGTCTTTCGATCCGTTTGAATCTTCATTTACCGTTGTAACGCGTTCTTCGTCGACGTTCGATGTCAGCGTCGTATCGATCGGTGTGTAATTCTCTTTCATGGTTGTAACTTCACCGTTGTCGGAAAAAACGTACGGTGTTGTCATCGGCGTCGACATCGTCCAGTCGGGCACCTCCGTAGTGATCGCGGTGACGCGAGTCGGAATGGAGACCTCGTCGTTCTTCAGCATCTCCTCCAAGAAATTCTGGAGGAGCGATTTCTTGGTCGATTCTGCGGCGGCCGCGGTACTTGCGGTGACGGTCGTCGCAATCGGCTGGGCGGTGGTGAACCTCGAATCGTGAATCGGATTGTACTTGTATTGATCTTGAACCAGACTGTTCACTGCAGAGTTGTAGTGTTGAGATTCGGCGGTGACGAAGTCGTCCGTGAGAGGTCTTACCCGCACGCGAACTTTCCTTCTTCGGGTCTGAAAGACAAATTTTTTATTTATTTTGTATTGCCCCCTGCAGAATAGAATATTACAAAGACAGATTTTAAATTTCAATGCTACATTCGAATTTAGTACTTAAAATTAATTATTTATTTTGCAAAAATATCAAATCGGTCTAAACTTTTATTTTACCTTTCTGCCGGTAGGAGAATCAGGTTTCGTAACTTTCGCGCCGTCGTTCATCTGTTCCGTAAAGTTTTCATTCTTGCTGTTCATCCAATCCCGCGTTTCCTTATCGCTCTGGGATTGATCCTGAAGTGCTGTTATCGGATTTGGCGAATTCGTCACTGCCCTCGTGGCGTTCAATTTCTCCGCGGAATCCTGCGCGTTCGTCTTCCATCCGAAACCATCCATCACTGTGTCCATATTGTCGGCGTCGTTCGGGTGTTTCTGATAGTCCGAGGAAACGAGCACCGTCACCGACGACATTTCCGGTCCGGCCGTAATAATCTCGGGTGCGTTCTCGTTCTCCTGCTCGCTGCCGGTTCTGCCTCGGCCCCTCTTTGACTCGCCGGCTACGCGATTCGAGGCGAAGCTCGGCTGGAACGACGTCTTCGACAGCTTCGTGGACCACTGGCTCTCGGCGCCGTAAATGTCACCGCTCGAGTGCGCGCCCGCGTCCGAGTTCACGCTACCCGACTGGCTATATTTCTTCGGCGGAATACTAGCCAGCTGGGTCTGATCGTATTCTTCGCGTTGCGACACCTGCTCCGGCAGATTGCCGAAGTTTAGAACAAATTCTTGAGGCGGATACTGCTGGAAACATACACATTGCATTTCAGTAAAAAAGAAGTGAGTCATATTCTTTTGAAAAGTATTGGAAACAGATTTATCACCAAATATTTAATAATATATATTACAGTAATAAATTAACTTTCATATTTTACATTAAATGAGAAAAACATTCCGTTTCTTTTTTTCTCTTCGTAATATCTATTTATTATATCTGGTGTTTGTTCCTTCACAGCGCGATTCCGTCAGAGAATTCACTTACGCTTTCGCTGTTCTCCTCGTAAAACTGTGCCGGTCGATTCTGATTCGGCACGAATTGCGGCGCAACGTCGAAATTGTCGTCATAAAGAGGCTGCTGTCCGCTCGCCGTCACCGGCAGCTGTTGCGACGTTATTCGAGGATAGTTTTCGTCTAGCGGTAATTCGTTGTGCGCGTCGAGGCCGGATTCCGTCGTTGTCGTAATGCGTTTCTTCCCGGGCCGACGAAGTCTCGTTCGTATTCTCGTCGACTTCGGCTCGTCCGGTTTCGGTTTCGCAGTGTACACGGTATCGTCTGGCATTGTCGTTGCAACAGGTACGATTTCCGTCGTCGTGCTCGTCGTCGACGTCGCGAATATCTTCGTGGTCGGGCGACGGTTCAAGGTTTGATGGTATTTGGAACGATTTTTCAGAATCTGACTTGGGCTCGACTCTACCACCGTCTCGTCGTTGGAGAGAATGTGCTGTATCTGCGTTTTATTTTTCAAGCGTTTCAGAAGGGTGATTTCGGATGCTTTCTGCGCGATGCAGTACATTGAAGGGAAGATTGATGGGGTGTTAAGCGGAAATTTCATTTTAAAGTACTTGATGAAAAATACCTTTCGGACATTGTATTAAGAGGATTGAAAAATTTTAGATATTGAAGATTGATGGATTATTAAACAAAAATTTAATTCTAAAATATCTAAAAAAGATATAATGTATATTAAAAGAAAATTGAAAACTTATATGCTGATATTTTATTAAAAACTGCTATTTTTCAGTCAATGGTTATATACTATTATATCAATAAAATTGTATTGTAATTACTATAATGTTAAAATACGACGATCCTTTAAAACATCGTAGAAAAAATTGTTGTCACAATTTTTTTTTAATGTAAAATTGCTCTTTTTTCCTATTATTTCGTGAAACGTACCTCGGACAAAGCGGGTCTATATGTAATAGGCGCTTGGAATCTGCTGTCCGCCGGATGCACCGGTTGCATCGGCCGGAAATTCGGTGGTCTTATGAATCCGTAATCGACGTCCTCCTCCACCGTGGGAGCTGCCATGGTCGTCGTCGTCGTCGTCGGCGGTACGGTAGTGGCGACCAGTTTCTGCTGCTGAGCCGCGTGTATCTTTATGTACTCGTTACCCTCGGTTTGCACCTGCGACCCGTGACTTTGCGGACGCGCGCGTGCCCTCGTCCTCAATCCGTCGCGGTTCCGATTACCGGCGCCGCGACCGGAATCGTTGTTCACAGCGCTGAAACGTACGTACTCGTCCTGGGGGCCGCGGGGTCGCGTCTGAATCGCGGAGTCGTGATGCGTGCGTCCGCCTCCTAGACGAGCTCGGACTCGCTGACGTATTATTACGGGCGCCGGAGTGGTCGTGCTGGTCGTGGTGATCTGGGACAGAAATAATTGTAACGATATCTAAACGGTAATAAATCAAACCTTATGCCTAAAGAAAGTTATAAATCCTACAGAGTAATATTCATAAGATAAGAGAGATTCATAAATGTTGTACAGAGAAATTATTAGTAATATATCAGTTATATAAGTTGTAACAAATTTAATTCTGTATAATGGAAATTATTTTCTGTGGAACATTTCTATAGTATTCTATACGAACGATATTACTGAAAGATTTAAAAATTTTGTTGGATACAGATCTAATAATTCTTGTTGGACTATCAAAATAATTTTGTTGAAAGTAAAAAATGATAAGCATTGCTATAAAATATTCTGATATTCTAGCAGCAGTTTGACTTTCTAACAAAATTATTTTGATCAACAAAATTATTTTTAGATTTGCAGCAAAATCGTTCTTTCTGTGTATTGTTTTTATTATGTATTAATGGCATATAACATCTTTAATTAGTTATATGTTTAATTTATAATCGATTACAATTTATCACATGGCTAGTAAAATTTCAACGAAATTTCGTCACATAAGAATCTATTTCTTTAGAAGATGCAACTGAACATTCGTACAACATTAATATTGTTTTAATATACGTACTTCAATAAGCGGCTCCGTAGAGGGAATTGGTAATTCGTAATCCTCCTGCTTGTTCTGTTGAAGTGGAACGAAAACCGGTGACGCATTCGGATCAGTTTCTATCGCGGTGCTCTCGATCTTGCCGGCATTGTAATCCGCCTGAGTTTGTGCCACATTGCCATCGTAAATCGGGGAATACCGATGCTCCTCGCCGGGCGTGACTCGCGGGTCCACCGTCGTGGGCAGATTGTAGTTGACTTCTTCCTGGTAACGCGGATATTCCTTGGGTCTCTGGGAAATCGTTTGGTCCGGCGAATTCTCGTTTACAACTTGATAGTTGAATCCGTTCACCGGCGCCTTCTCGAGCGCCGATTGCTGGAAGCCGTCGCTCTGATCGTATATCGCGTCTTGGTGCTGGTAGCGCACCTCTTGCGGGCGGTTTTGCGGATAATTTTGATCTCTGGAGTAATCGTTGGACGCCAAGGGCGTGCTGTGCTGAACCGTGACGTCGCGCAACGATGGCGGGTAATTTTCGGTCTGCATGGGAGTAGTCGGATAATTGTCCGGGTAATTGCTCACCGGAGTTTCCTTCCGGTGGAAATCAGAAGCGGGTCCGCTCGGCGCCGAGTACGTGGCGGGAGAGGCATCACTCTGCGACTCGCTCTGTGGATAGTTCTCAAAGTTAGTTGTTTGAACGTTGTGGTTTCGAGCCTGAACAAGTTTAGAAAACAGTATTTACGCGAACGCGCGGATACAATATTTCCACGTTTTCTTTCTTTCAAAATCTTGATATTAGTATATGTATATATATATATATATATATATATATATATATATATACAATTAATATATAAAGAATGTAGGTGAAATTAAAAAAAAAATTAATCGTACCGCGGACTGGGAATTCGCTCTATCTCGATTCCTGTACTTTTGCGCTCTGGATACTGGTCTTCTGTGTTCCGTATTCGCGTTATATTTCTGCGTAGTTTCCGGCGTCTTCGATTTCGTTGGTTCGTAAGAGGATTCGCGATACTCCTCCGTTGTGGTCGTAAATCTAGACTTCGATCGATTATACGTTGGTCTCCGGGTTCTTTCCGTTCTGTTACCAGGTGCTTGAGTCGTTCTGGCTCTAGTAGGTACGATTCTGCCTCTGTGCGTGATCAGACATAATTCTAATATATTAACGTCTCACTGACATTCACGATTGAAAAATTTTTATGCTCTACTTAGCCTTAAACCATCAATTTCTCTCAAATGGCATTAGAGTAATTCATGTGAAAAAATTATATGTTTTCCACATAAATTATATTACGATGCATTTTGCCATGAAAACCAATAAGAAAATTTTGAGAAACGTTACAGACGAAAAGATACTTGAATTATTAAATCAAAATTAATAATTTAAATATCTATTTAAATTTTTTTAATAACAAAAAATACTTTAAAATTATGTTTTAAAAAATTGTTGGAACCACATGAAACGTACAATATTATGAATTGTAATAATAGAATTACACTTACCTTCCTCGTGGCCTATAAGTCGTGGAGCTGATACGAGTAGTCGTCGTCGTAGGCGTCGTGGTCGTGGTCGTTGTCGGGGGTGGCGTTGGAGCGACAGAAAGCTTCTCTTGCTTATCCAGCAAGGAATTTACCAAGCCCGGTAAATGCGGGGAGATCGGCGGTAATTCCGCTGGTAAATTGTATTGCGTCGGTCCAACTGGCGCTCTGACCTCGTTGGCGTCGTACGATTCACGATGATACTGTTCGGCGGTGTATTTTTGAGGCTCTCTCTGCTGGACGAGCTCATGATTGATAAGCGCTAATTGGGCCGCCAGCTCTTGCTCCTTTGTGGAGGGATCGTGTGGACTCACTGACCTGTCCTGGAAACTTGGTGTGCTAGAGTAGACCACTTCCTGTCTATAGCTGGCTGTCGTATCGATTTTCGGAGACTGAGTTGTGAATTTGGTCTCTTGCTCGTAGTAATGCTTCGGCTTATTGTCGTAATACTGTCTGAATCTGAACTTCGAATTTGAGGGCGGCGTTGAGTATGCCGGATCGTACTTAGGGCTGTTGGATTCCGGAGAGAAATTCTGAGTGGTCGAGGAATCGTAGGACGCGGTGGTAGCGATGGATCCGCTTTGATCAGCGTCGCTGTAAGAGTTCGGCTCGATTAACGGCGTCGGATTGGGATTCTGCTCGTTTGTCGGGGTGCTCGATTCCGAGGATGTTTCCGACAAGTTGTTGACCACGACGGAACCGATGTGCGGCGCCGGGAAGGGAATCTTAGAGTAACCCGCGGGCGGATCGAAGCTCAGCGGGGCGACGAAAAAAGGCAGTTTGTCGACCTTGCGTTCCACCCTGTTGTGATCGATCGACGACAGGTAGGGGAGATCGAACTTCGCGTAACCGTAGGGAGGGTCCAGATTTGACGGGCCCACGAACACCTGCGGGCTATTGGGGCCGACGGTATCCAGGACGGCGATGGTTTTCGCGTGTTTTAAGAGCTTCAGGACATCGGTAACCTTGACGGTATCCAACCTGGACGTGGGACTGCCCATGTAAACGGAGAGGGGCGGCTGATTGGGCGACGGTGTGGTTGTGACCTCGCGATAATTCGACTGTTCCTGGTACTGATTAACTCGTGGACGTTGCCTACCGCGAATCTTTTTTATCCTGGTGCCATCCGTGAGTTGTGGGCGACGTGCCTGTTCGCGGACCAGAGCTTGGGACTGAGGGTTTTGAATATTCGGACTGGTAACGCGTAATTGATCCTCCTGTTGACCTTCCTCGCGTAGTCTGGCCTCTTCCTCGCGGCGTCTCTCCTCCTTGACGCGAAGTTCAGAGAGCCGTCGGCGTTCGAGCTCTTCCTGCCTCTGCTTTTCTCTAGCCTCGCGAATTCGATCCAGTTCTCTTTGCCTCGCCATTTCCTCCAGCCTTTCTAATTCCTTTCGTTGCTTCTCGGCCTCCTTTTGTCGCAACAATTCCTGTTCTCTCTGAAGGGCTTCCTGCTGCAATCGCGCTTTCCGTTCGAGCGCCCTCTGCTCCTCGTTCAATTTAGCAAACTCTTTCACGCGTTCCTCCTTCAGGAACTGCGCCGTCTCCTCGTGTTCCCTCTGGATCTGCTGCAGGACTTGCCGAGCGAAGGTTTCTTGATCGGGCGAAAGAGAAGTTTGGTCGATGCCTCCTTGGTTCTCTCGTTGAGGATGCTGTTGGCGAACAGGATATTGCTTCCTTCCGCGGTTCCTTTTCGGTTGACCTCTTTGCGCCAATGTTTCCACCGGAACGTATACTAATTGAACCTACAAGATGTCGTATTTGATGCTGTTATATGTAATGTATATCTTCAATTCATGGTTTATATATATATTTTTTTTACAACTTAACAATTATTAAAATTGTCTATTATATTGTAAATAGTGTTATAGTAATGTTATAAATATGAAAAAAAATTTGAGATAAGAATTGAAATTGCTTGACCTATATCTTTGTGAAGAGTTCGATATTTACTGAAATTAATCATTATCATAAGTTCCACTTTTGTGTTTAAGAAACCAGATCAATTTATGGCTTTTCTGTGCTTAGTTCCGGTTCCGCTCAGTTGATATATGAATCTTGCGTATTCTATGTACGCTCTGATTCTGTTCAATCTAATGATACCATCGCAGAGATGCACATTGTAACAATTGGTCAATAGAACTTGATAAATCGTCGAGAAAGAAAGCGAGCTACGCTGAAGATTTCATTGTACGAACCTCCTCCTCCTCATCGCCCACGCTTCCAATCAGAGAAGATTGTCCTTTCAAACGTTTTCCGTCGGGTTTCTGACTTCCTTGTTTCGTTATGTAAGCGTGCGGTCCCTCTTGCGCGTTCCCACCGCTTTGGCCGTGCGGCAGTATAACTTGACCCTGAGGCAAATTCGATAACTCCTGGTAGGCTTGTCCCGGTCTTTGTGGCAGGAAGTTCTGAGGAGGACGTACCGGCGGAAGTGCCCCCGTGTCCGGATGCGGGGGTACCAGAGCTTCCGACGTTAATTCGGGCGGCGTTTGCAAGTTGCCTAAGGAACTCGGTAGTACCTGTTTCTCATCTTCGGCGTTACTGTAATCGCCGGGTAGAAACGTCTGAGTCTGTAAATGGAGGCAAAATCAGTTTGATGAAATAAACAAAAGGGAACCGAAGCTTATGCATATAACTGTTGAATCCTTTATTAAATTTAATAAAGTATCTGTAGTATTTTTGCCAAAACGATTTTGCCAAATTTATCTTCTTCAATATAAACATAGCTTCAGCCTTTAAAAAAAAATATATTTGATAAAGAGAAAGCTGTACAATGAAACATAAATTTCTCGATATTTACTCGATGAATATCTCTTATAAAAATAATAAATTTAAAAGTATCTTGCATTCTCGATGCATCGCAAGCTGAACCGTTTTACCTGAAGCAGTTGCTGCTGAGTTTTGAGCTGCTGCTGCAGCAGCAGAAGCTTTTGTATGCTCTCCTGCGTTTTCTGCAGCTGAATCAGTTGCTCCTGGTACTGCTGCTGAAGGGCGGGCGGTAACGCGAGCGTTTGAATTGGATTCGGTAGATGCGTGCTGCTAGACAGAAGCCCGCTCTCCGCGTTGCCCCGCGACAGTTGGCCAGACGCGGTCCCCGGATTAGCCAGGGGGATCCACTCGCTGTTGGAGACTTGTCGTGACCATCGCTCGGCCGCGCATCCGTCGAATCCGCCTAACAACGTTAGGACGATGAATACCGCGGTCGGTGTGAAGCACCTCCGCACAATCTAAAACCGATGATATCGATTAATTGATCGCGAACGGCTGATTAATTAACTTCGGCGATGACACGTACGCTACATTGACAGCGTAAAATTGCTTTGATTGACTTTGCACGGTGGATCTGGGTCAACATCGACGTCGGTTCGTTTTGGCGTAGTTTATATTTTTTTAAACAAAGCACTCTTTCTCTCTCTCTCTCTCTCTCTCTCTCTCTCTCACTTACTCGCTCTCTCTTGTGCGCGTATGTTGTGTATTGTGAGTGGTGTGCACTCCAGTTTCATAGTACAGGATAAATTGCGTACCATATACGACTCATAAAATTATAAGTAGCATTCTATTATATTTGGAATTCTGACGCGAGTCACTGATTGTTTAAATCGAGTTTAATTGTCAAAATATATGAAAATTAATTAAGTATATGAGAATTAATTAAATGATTACAATACGAAATGATTTTCTACATGTAGAATAATATATAATGTCATTAATAAAGGATATATTTATTATAATATACGGAGATAGAATCACGTTATCTCATGTATTAGGGAACAGGATGCAAAATGTGCATTAGAGGGTAACAGACAAAACGTGGTAACGCTTCGTAGCGGAAGATAACAAGAAACCAACCGCAATTTCACCGCATTTATCATGATGCGAATAAGTAATCGAGATCATGGACCGATGAATTGGCTGCAACTTTATGGTAACTTAATGGAACCTGCGGTTTCATAATGCGACAAAGCTGCGACGAACAAGCGTACGCACGTATACAATGTTATTAATTACTTCCGATATAATGCCGATATTATTTCTCGTCAAACGTTTCATCGCTTTCCATGACGATTATAAAATCTTTGAATGAATCGTTTCCTCATTGAGGGAAAGTTATTATTTTGCGAGTAGAGAAAAGACATTTGACGTAAAGATAAAATTATCAAAATTTATTGGGAATACATTTTGGTAAAATAATAATTATATTATCATTCATTATATCGAATAATCGTTGTTTTAATGTTACGGACAGAATTTCTATTATTTTCAACCTGTTCTTTAATTAAAGAGAATCACTTCTCGTTTAATTAGATTTAATTATATAAATTTTGTTTGATAGTAACAAGAATAGATTGTCATCAGAATTGCATTTACTTCCTATTAAATTAATTGTATAAATTAAATTAAAATATCATATAAATGTTTTCCTTATTGTATGCAATTGGTATGTAGATGTAATTACGCGATAAAAGACGTGTGTCCTTTTATATAGTTTTTTTTTCGAAAAATATCAAATAAAAGTATTAAATTTTATGTCTATACATTTACACGTAATTAGATTAAATTTTTGTTCTTCTAAAATGGGAAAGTTTTATACCGTGCAACATTTCTATTTCTGATGTTTGCGATTGGCTCGTTGCGCACACATCGCGTGTGTCGTCGATCGATCGTTCATCTCGAACGGAGATGCGAATGACGCGTATTATTGCATCGGAATAACGTAGCGGCCGTTGTTCCGATATCTGCTTTCGATACAGTTTTCCGTTTCGTTTCCACTTCATTTACCGCACGCGGAATTGCACGCCGATGTATTAATACTCTATTTTGCGTTATTTCTATCAAATGATCGGTTAGATGAAGAAATAAATCGTCAGCAAGCGTATCACGTAATATCTGATAGTCCTATCATCGTATCCGGTTTCTGCTTGATTTTTAAACAAATACGTAATATCTAAAGCTAAATTATAGCCTCATAATATGCGCCAGGCATGAATCATTAGACACAATTACGCGTGCAGAGACAACTTTCACTCGCGGGCTGTCGCTTTTGTCTATTTATATATCCGCGCAATCTGTATGTTCCGATGTATCGAGAAAGGTTGCTAATGATTTTAAATGTTCGGTAATAATAATTTAAATCTTATTAATAATTATAAGACTATTAAAGCGAAAGAGTTTAATTTGTACTTCAATCGTGCATACGTTAATCAGAATCTTATAGGAACGTTATAATTGTCTAGGTTTAGATTGGTTAATAATAACACGATATGTTTCGCAGGAAATATTTGAAGTGTCCGGTGACATGGCTCTCCAAGTGAATGTAGTCGGCCTTCTAGTTGCGAACACGGAAAGTATAGGCATGTGCAATGTACTGTCTTTAATCTATTTTACATCCGCAAGCATATTTACGGCAGCCTAAACATTCACACGTTAAAAAAAAAGGATTCTTTTTTTGTTGTTTGAATGCTTTTTGCAATGTCATGGGCAGTATTAATTTTAATAAATTAATAACTTAATCGTTAAACTATTAATAAATAATAGTTATTTATTAATAAATATAGTTATTATTTTAAATAAATTATTGTTATTAGACTAAATAATAAGTGTAAGAAACATGAAAAAATTAATCAAAACTTATTATTATTTGCTCAAAATTAAATTTATTATATTTTCATGTTTTATCTTGATTTAGTATTATATAAAACCATAGAAAGCAATTATTAATGCTAGATTAATAATTAATTATTGTTTAGATAACGACTGCAAAAATTATTACATTATTGTATTAATTTCATTATAATTAATTATTGCGATTATTACGCCACGAACGTTATCATCGTTACAATCCATAGTTGATATTATCATCGCATGTCGCCCGCGAATCGCGGGAACTTCTGGAGTGCGACCAAAGCTAACGAACTGTGAATCGCATCAAATAGCGTACGGCGATTTCTAATAAAATACCTCGGCTGTGACTACCTAATCTTACGAGATCGCAAGTTGCCAGACGCAAGTTTTTACGAAAATGATGATTGATGGACGAGTAACTACGCGGGAAATAAGTGTATGTGGTAACAAAAAATAATGAGTAAAATCTACAGTCAATGACTGTACGGATTGTGATTTAACGCGTTGAATTTTAAGCATAACATGCACCGTTCATCCCGGAAAGATGTTTCGAGTGGCTGGAACATGTTGAAGATCACTGTCATGCTTCTCGATATTATCGATGCAATTAATGCTTGTAAAATGATATCAGTACGATGATATCATTGACGAGATAAATGTGAGGAATGCTAAAGATTCGCTAGTTCCTGAACTGCACAATGATTTCCGAATCGGTCAAGTCTTCGTGCTACTGACATGATTTTGATTATGCTGCCGCGAGCGTGTCTATATAATTTTCATTACGGAATATCGCGTGTCGGACACGCCGCGCAATTTTTCTGCTTTCTTCGTGATTTTTTCCGAGCGCATTCCGTCCGGCCGTTTTTAGAAACGAATCCATCGAGTGTAAAGTAACGGCGGCGCGATCCATCGGAAGGGTCTCCCATCGAAAGGAAAAGAAATCAACCGCGAGCGTATGAGACATACCGCGCATATACATATTAGCAATGAAATTCCAACGGGGAATTATTGGATCGTTGTTCAGCGAAAGTACCGGCAATGAAAAATTCACTTCCAGGAAGAGCACCGTTCCAACTATGCGTGTAATATACGGCCCTAATATCAATTTAAGTGTAATATATCGAGAAGGATCATATTGAAGCTCGTCGGCTAATTGTAAATATCTCTAAAAACGACATCGTGAAATACGACAAATTCTTTAAATTTTATTAGAGTATATTTTATTAGAGTATTTTATTCTGAACATTGAGAAAAAACTGCACACGGAAAGAACGATTTTGTTGAAAGGTCTAAAAATTTTGCTAAATACAGATATGAAAATAATTTTTGTTCAATAATCAAAATAATTTGTTGGAGAGTTAAACATGATAGGCATTGCTATAAAACATTTTGATATTTTAGCAATCATTTCGCACAAAATTATTTTGATTATTGAACAAAAATTATTATTTTCAGATCTGGATCCAGCAAAATTGTCCTTTCCGTGCACGAATATCTCTTTTTAGTTATTCGACATTTCCTGCTCCTTAATTTCTCCTTCAGTTTTCCGAAGGGACGGCCACACTTGATACTTAGTCAACTATAAAATTGGCAGTCGTTGGAAAACGCATATCGCAAAAAGTGTTAGTTCAAGAATTCTCCATTCTCTCAATTACATTTGAAAGTACGTCGTTTCGACGTACGCGATAGTGATGGTCATCGCAATTCCGTTTTCAATCCTCTAACCGATCTAACTTCCCACGCGTGCACCCAGCCGCGGGTGTAACTGAAGCTCGAATCTCCGTTCGCCGTGGTGCCGTCGAAAGAAATGACTTTCTCTCGGTCGGTGGAGGCGCGCGTAAGACGATATTTCCCGTTCTCGCTGAGCTTCGCTCGTAACATCGCGCAGCCAATGCCGCCGTGTAATGTGTGCAATTATCAATCGTTCATGTTCGCCACATGCCGGATCGGAACGGCGGTTAAAAAGGAGGTCGAGCACCTTTCTCTCCAACGCGTGAGGAAGCTAGCCCGGGTCCTCAGATAAAGGCGCGGTCTTGACATCGTTGCAGTTTTGTCCAACATGATCACGCTTTTAACAGGTTGCTCGTCGCGGTAAGATAAAATTAACATGACTAGACGATTATGCGAACTTTCCAGTTTTTTAATCTTTTAAATGTCCAATAAGAAAGGTATTCTTAAAAATAGAAAAAGATCGTTTAATGTATACAAATTGCTAACATTACATCGAATAATTAAAATTTGATTAATACGAAAAAATAATATAAACACATATACTTGAGAAATATAGGTATATTTGAAATATCTCTTTAGAGCATAAATCATTTTCTTTTTCAATTTTATTTCTCTGAGTTAACCTATATATTAAAGTGTTATAGCTGTTGTAAACCTGCAATAACACATCTGGAAGACGCATTGCTTCAAAAGCTTTTTCACTAATAGTAACTGTAACTCGTCCAAAACTTTGTCAGTGTTCTGTGAGTGATATCCGCGAAGCAAGGATATAGAAGCACTGAAACAGTTTCTTCATCCATGCACATGTTTCTGTGTAAGTCTTATTTAAGTCCTGAAAGTCTTGGGAAGGACGTATGGCGACATGCACGCGAGTGTGCGTAATCCTGTCGAATGTACCGTCTGTAAAAATGGCATATTCGCGGCCTTCGGAATTTCATGCTCTACTTGCACGTTTGCACTATCCTATCCGCAGTCGCTCGCGGAACTTTCGTTTCTTACAAGACTTTTCGAGAGGGTGTCCGTCGCGTTTGAGAGAAAAGTACCGGCGAACGATATAAGTTCCGATCGAATTTCTTGTAAATAGGCTTTACACGCGAGCACAGAAATAGCGGTGCACCGCGCGATAGCATCTTGCAGTCGTGGCTTACTGGAAGACATATTTTGTTGTCGCGAATGTGGAATATATGCATGAGTATGTTACGCGCGGATCCGTATTTAATTGCTACGTTAAAAAATCGAATAAATTAATTGCAAACGCAGAATTTACGAAATATAGCACAATTTAATAAATGCATTTTTTTACAAATCAATTTTCATGCAAAAAGCCTTGTAATTAAAATTTTATTTGCATTTATCAAATTAAATGACTTATCGCGGGTTGTATTTATTAAAAATTAAATTCTCATCTATAAAAAAATTTATTACTCTAATCAGTATTTTTATTTTTTGTTTCTATTTCTAAAAGTTTTGTCTTTTTTTAAATAAACCGATATTTAAGTCTCAAATAAATCAAATCTCGTGATTGAAAAAAGATTACATGTAAA